GAGAGCAGGAAGCTGAGCTGCTTGATCCCTGGAAGTGCCTTTATATTTTAAAATCTATAATCCATGAAGGGAAGACAAAATTCAAGTTTTATCATTGGAAACCTCGACGGAGAGGATTCTGGTTAATATAATTTTACAGGTTACTTAGAAAATCGTTTGCTGCAACTGTTGTCAGGATGTTTCAAAAAATATATTCATTCTCATTGCTTTAGTGAATGTGTATATGCTAAGTAGTAGTTTCCAGTATTGGCTGCAACAATAATCTCTCATCCAGAAAGTTCTTTCTGCGATGTGACCACTCCATCCCTCCATCAAGACATGGCGTCTAGTTACCCTGGCCTTGGATCAGAGGCAGGAGAACTGCTGTGTGAGTTCAGAGGCCATGTCATAGAAGGCCACGCACCTTCTGATTCTTTTGGATCTCTCACGCTCAGGGCACTCCAGCAGCCAAGGAGTAAGAAGCCCATGTCCTTGGAGAGGCCAGGTGTAGGTGCTTTAGTTGACAGTCCTTTGAGTCATCCATCCCAGAAGACAGTCATGTGAATAAAGGAGCTTCCAGGTGATTCCAGCCCCCAGCCACCTGAGTCACTCCTAGCCAAGGTGCCAAACATCGTGCAGCAGAGGCAGGCCATTCCCACTGTGCCCTGTCTAAATTTCTGACCTACAAAATCCACGAGCATAATAACATGATGGTTGTTTTACTCCACTAGATTTAGGCTGGTTTATTATATAGCAGTAGTAACTGGAACGGCACTCAATAAAAGCTAACTTTCTCCCTTTCTTGAGTCAAGGCCCAGAGCTGCAATCCAGCTTGGCTTGTTAGTTGCCTAACCATTATTGATTTTATTGATTTTTTACCTCTTCTTCTTCTGTGTTACATTTCCGCTGTTTGTCGCTCAAGGTCCACTCTGCACCTGCCCTGAACCCTGGGAAGCCGATCGCATGGACTGCTGTGGCTTCCAGTTGGGTTTAGGAAATGGAGGCACCGTCTCTTTGGATAACTTCTCCTCCTTACTTTTGAGGCCTAGGGATGGTAGCCTTATTTGTCCCATCCTTCACTGTTAACAGGCAGGGGTAATGCATTACCTTTCTTAGTTCCCCTAAACACTTTGAAGTAGCGAAGTTATTCATTTCGGGTGTGCCATATGTTTCCTGCAGGGAGCCCTGACTGATAATGTCTCCTTTGCAGTAAAGAATGCAAACCATTAATCTTGAATGACATACTCATTAATTAACTCTGTAAACCAATTGCTGGAGTAACAGAATCTTTCTTTGACATTGGACACTGCAATATGTCTTATGAAAGGGGTTAGAATCCGGTCATCTTTTAAGATCAGTGATCATGATGTAACACTGCTTTAGGAGATTAGGCTGAATCTATATGACCATGACCTTTCTCTGGAAATCAAAGGAAGAAAAAAATGATATTGGCTTTTAATTTGGCTTGCCTTTTGTCACTCTCTCTTACACACTGAACAAAGCCGAAAAATAAATTTTACTTAATTAAGGATGACAGTCAGTCAATATGTTGTCAGAGCATTGAGTTAGCTGCTTATCTAGAAGTGTTTACTTGAAAAGACCTTAGGTATAAATCAATCACATTCCAAAATGTATGAGAATCAAATTCAAAATATGATTTCCGCAGGATTCTGAGTCTCTTTCTCCATGTAGTAATGAGACTGTCACCATGCAGCTGTATATACTCGGTAAATCTTCTGGATACTAGCCGTGAAAGATCAATTAAGAGCCTTTACTTTTAAAAACTATCTTCTTATACCCCTAAGCCTGATTGTCTTGAGTGGAAATTCTCCCTCAATATAAAAAAACAAGCAAAAATTGAACAGTGACATAGTTCATCACATTTCCAATTCAATATTGAGACTGTAAAACAGAGGCAGCCATAAAGAGTTAATTTAGTTCATATAGAATTTTCCGGATTCAAAAATTCAATTTAGGAAGGGTATAGAGAAAATAACTGAAGACATACGTTTATTTTAATGACTTATGGCAAAAATTGTAATATTTCCTATTATATCTAAACTTAAAATCAAGATACTCGAGGCACTGAATATTTAATCACATCATCTGAAAGAGATTCAAAGTACTATATTTGCAGTCTTTAGAGTACTGACAAAGAACAAGATCTCTTTATAACCAACTTAGGTGAGTACAAGTTAGGCAGTATATATTAAATTTTACATTAGCACATAAATTTTACATTTAACATATAAATTATAATGCTAAAAATTTATAATATCTAAAAAAGTTACCCTAAAACTAGGCATAACATTGATTTTAATATGATAATTCTGTGAATTGGTAGAGGGCGCTGTCACTATAATCCCTCTAATTACAGAGCAATGACGTTAACTGCACAGGAAGAAGGGATGGGTAGGGATTGTTAACCATCTGTCTTTTTGACAAGTCCATCCTTACTCTACCAACTTTTAGTTTCCGTTCTCACTCAAAAACCCTTGTGTTTTCTGGCCCCTTTTCTCGTTCATCTCTGATTTCCTTGATCAATGAGTTCAGATATATCTTTCATAATGAAGGCTCAGTCAGATAGAACTTGGATCCCATGCATGTGTGTGTGGGGGGGAGGGCACCAACAATAATTACATCATCAATATCAAGACTACTACCACCATCGGGATCAGAAATGGATTTGAATCCTTCTCTTAATACTTGCTGAGAGATCTCAGACAATCTTCCTAACTGTCTGCAGCCTCAGTTTCCTTGTCCTCATCTTCATGAGATTATAGTACTATTGTGAGAATAAAATGACCTATGTGCCCTGATATGTACATGATGTACTCTAAGTCCTGGCGTAGTGCTTAATGCATATTAGATCCCTGAGAAAAGCTTTTGAACCTGAATCTGAAGCCTCTTTGTAACCCACTCACCCAGTCACGGGCATTTATTCCCTCCCTAACTCTGTTTCTTGCATGTTGTGAGTCGGGGTTGGCTTCACACTCTGAGCCCAGGGAGTACAGCAAATCTAACTCATCTAGTATTCACAGTTCTATGATGCAACCTCCTTACTGCAACAACTGAGTCGTCATACAGTTCATGTTTTCTCCTAGATCAAAGGGACACTGACACTGATTTCAATAAATATAAATGTTAATTGAACATCAATAAATGAGGTTTGACTTTATTATTTTCCATTGCTGAAACCCACACACCCCAGAACATAGGAAGACTCAAAGCCGATAGTTCTCATCTCCCTGAAATCTGAGTGAACCGATTACATAAACTGACTGTCGTAGTCAGGGGTAACATAAGAAATTATGTAAGAAGTGCTAAACCAGGGGCATTGCTGGTACTTGAAGAATGTTTAATGGAATTAAGTGGGACAAAGTTCTGCTCTATGAAGGATTCATTTTCAAAATACCATAACCAGAAGTATTCCTTCCTACTTCTAACTCCCTTCTGGAGCCATTGTGTATGAATCAGGCAGTGCACACACACCTAAAGAAAATCAGAGGCCTGAGAATTTCACAACACTGATGGGTTGACAAGAAAAGTGGGTGGTCAGCATTTCACGTGCCCACTGAGCAAAACAAGCCTTCATAGAAAACAACTGAGAAATCTCCAGCAAGTGCATTGTAAAGAACAAAACTATAGGCCTGCAAATAAGGGAGGGACTAATCTCGGATGGCTGCATGGGGTAAAAACAGGATGGGACCAAGAAGACCAGCAGAATAGCAGACCATCAGATTAGCCACCTTGGAAAGACTTCTGGTTAACGGACCCACGTGTAAGGAACTTAAAAGCTGCCCCTCTGTAAAAAGCCGAAGAGACTGGAAAATCAGCAATTTTTCTTAGGTATAAGAAAGGAGAGGGTACAGGGCAAATTGCTGCTCCCAAGACTGGAAAGACAGACAGTTGAACAGAAGGGGTCACAACTTCTTGGAGCAGAGACGCAGGAGCAGAAGCTACCTGGGAACCAGGCTTTCACCACATTAATATCAGATACCAACCTACAGATCCAGGAAACCCAGAAAACACCAAGCAGGATAAATATTCCAAAAAACTAGACTGAGGCATTTTATTTTCAAATTATGGAAAATTAAAGCTAGAAAAAAAAAAAAAAAACCCTGAAAGAAGACAAAAGGCAAAAGCACCTCCCTATAGAAGAACAAAGAAAGAATTACATCTTACTTCTCAGAAATCATTCAAGACAGACGAGAGTGGCATACTTGAAGTGTTGCAGGAAAAAACTCCACCAGCCTAGAATCCTGCGCCCTGTGAAATTATCATTCAAACGTGGAGGATGCAAAAAGACTTTCTGAGATAAACAAAATTTGAAGGAATTTGTTGCCAATAGACCTGCAGTGCAAGAAATGTTAAAAGAGTTCTTTAGAGAGAAGGAAAATAATATCGGTCAGAAACTTGGATCGACATAAAGAAAGAAAACCCATCAAAGAAACAATGTTTAAATAAAAATGTTTATTTTTCTTATTCTGAATCAATCTAACAGATAACAGTTTGTTAAAAATAATGTCAACAATGTTTTCAATTCTGAATATTTAGATGTATCTTATGTATGTACATATGTTTATACATGCTTCTATATAAGTGAAATGAATGGCAGCAATGATACAAGGGACGGGAGGTAGCCATTAGGATTATTTCGTTATTATAAGGCACTCACACTCCCCATGAAGTGGTATAGTGTTATTTGAAAGTGGATTTGGATTAGCTGTAAATGTACACTGCAAACCCTGGGGCAATCACTAAAAAAAAAACCCAAAATGTACATTAGCCATTCTAGCTTCTCATTAGTTCATTTATGAAGTACAACTAAAAGGTTATCAGATGTTCACTGTATATTACTTGTAGTTTATTTCATATGTATATGTATATGTAATCCTCATTCCACAGCATATGCTTAAATCCGTGTCAGTAAATCCTCCTAGTATCTTCAGAAAGTCTTACATTTTAAAAAGTCCTCCAGATATTGTTAGAGATCAGTATCTGGACTTGGTTGATCCTACCTGAAAATTACAGTGGACACAGTGAGATGGATTAGCACCAGGATGAGTGCACCTTGAAAAAGTCAAAGACATATCTGACTGATTTTCGAAAGAAGAAAATTCTGTCTTCTAAACATCAGCTTATAGCCACAATCAGGGTCAGAGGGGTATGTGTCCCTATGTATGATTCTCATGCTTTATTAACGGTTATGTGCACATATCTCAAACTACATGGCTACTTTGAGCTTTAGTAAGAATACTGTCAGATAAACCCTGTGAGGACCAGTTTCAGTAAACCTAAATATCATTCTACATGTATTGATTTTCAATGCACATGATCTAGTTTCTAAGGCAGCTTAGAATCAATCTTGAGCAATCTCTAGGAGCTTTGATTGCATGGTTCTTGGAGTTTTCAATATTTGCCTTTTCCTACTAGAGCACGATGTTCCTTAAACGAAGGGACAATAATTGAACCCTACAGAGAATTCAGCCAAGTGGGGTGAAGGGAAACTTGAAGTCTGAGGCGGGCAGGGGAATACGTTCTCCCTGTTGTGCAGGCTGCTGCCATACTTCAAAGACCCGGAAAAAAGAGAATAGGGAGACCATAGCACAAAACTGGAAAAGGTCACATTCGGAAGTGATGACCCATTTTCTAATAGTACAATCACTATGAGTTTTACAGGAAACAAGGACATTTTTGTGTGTGTTCTGCAGTACTAAAGAAGCAATAAGGAAAAGATGTAGCTTTTACATTTTTATGAAAGTGATCTTGAGTTTCTGCCAAAATATTTTTTCTTCAATGAGGAGTTCCGAAGCTTCCTACGAGACCAGCACCTGTGCAGAGCCTTTCTTGCAGCTGTTTCTTCACAGACAATCCAACCGTTGAATTTTCATGCTTGATCTTTTGAGGAGCAACTCGGGTGAATTTTTTTCAACAAGCCTTTTGTCATGGACAGTAGCACTTATTAGTCCACCCTCTTCTAACTTTTCCTGAAGGACAGCTAGTCTTCAATACCCCCCCGAGTCACCCCAAAGTCACTCCCCACAGATAGGGCAGGAGTGAAAGCAAATGTGGCTGCGAGACAGAAAATGAAGAGAACGGGTATTCTCTGAGGGTCCTCTTTACCTTTGAAAGGTGGGGTGTGGAGAAGAAGCTGGTTTTGTGACAGTTAGCCCAATTTATAATATCGTGTTGTTGGTTTTTTGCATAGATTTCTGATGTAAAACAAAGACAAAAAACTTTTAAAAATAGCCAAACTAAGGAAATAGCATCTAGTGAATTCATGTTGCTCCAAACACAACAGTAATATCTAAAATATAAATATGTAAAAATATTAACTTATAAAACATATATATATGTGTGTGTGTGTGTGTGTATATATACACATATATATAGATATATGTGTGTGTATATATATATATATACACATATATATACACACGCACATATATATCTATATATATGTATATATAAAGCAAAAAGACACAATGCTCATCATGTAGGTAAACATTCCTACAAAAATAGTGAGCAGAACTTAGGTGAAGGGTCTGTCAGGCTCCTGGCCGGAAGCAGTTAGTGGTGGCCACGTGCTCAGCTCCGGTGAAGTCTGAGGACTCCAAGTGCTCCACATGAGATAGGAACTAGACCCTCTCTCATCACAAACTTCTTAGAGCCTTAACTCTTAACAAGTTTTAGGCCTAGGAAGGTGACGAAATGGAGACGCAGCTTCTCGCCCAGGAACTCAGTCAAGTGGTGTGCTGGCTGCACGAAGATTTCTAACATATCTTCGATGTCACGATGAGATAGCAATGCTGACCAACCTTAACGAATCCTGTCCTGAAATGAGGCCTCACAGTGTGGTCAGGAAAAAACTGCAAAAACACTAGAAAGAGTGGGGTGCCTATGGAAAGAAGGAAGGAAAAGGGCAGGAAAGAGGAAAATAGGAAACTAAAAGAAATTACTGTAAATTGTAATTCTAAAATACATAACTATAATGCCAAGAAAGACAACAAAATAATCACAACAGGAATCCATTCTGCATAAAACAAATTTGAGAGGGCAGTGCTATGGACTGAATGTTTGTGTCTCCTCAAAATTCACACATGGAAGCCCTAATACCCAATGTGATGGTATTTGGAGATGGGGCCCTTGGGAAGTAATTAGGGTTGGATTAAGTCACAAGGGTGGGGTCCTCCTGATGGAATTAACGCCCTTATAAAAAGAGGAAGAAACATGAGAGGTCTTGCTCTCTCTGCCATGTGAGAATACAAGCAAGAAGGGAGCCATCTACAAGCCAGGAAGAGGATTCTTGCTAGGGACTAAATCTACCAGCACCTCCATCTTGGATTCCCAGCCTCCCAAACTGAGAGAAATGCCTGTTGTTTAAGCCATCCAGTCTATGATATTTTGTTATCGCAGCCCGAACCGACTAAGACAGGCAGTATGACAAACACTTTCAAATAAGCATGGTGCTGCCTTTGGACATTTCCACTGGGAAATCTCACAGGCACTTTAATTGAATATATATAATCATAAACTCTTCTTCAGAACTTGTTTCTTGTCACATTGTCCATGTCTCAGTGAAGGACACCACCATTTTAGCCAGTTACCCAAGGGAAAACACTGGGTGTTGCCCTCCAACCTTCCCTCATGCTGAAACCACTTTCTTCCTCCCAAGTATCCCTACGTTGTATAGTTTTTCTATCTGTGCTCCTTAATTCTCATTCGAGCCACTGTTATGACTTCCCTAGAACACTGCAAAAATCTTCTATCTGTCTTCCTTACCTCTAATGTTTCTCCCACACAGAAATAAAATATTGACACTAGTCGACTCTGGAGGAAAAGGAAAGGGAGGGAAATTAGGGATTGCTCCTGAGCGTTTTTGTGCAATTTTTTAAAATGAGGATTGAAATAAACATGGCATATGATAAGATCTGATAAAGCTGAGTGGTTGATATACAAGAGTTATACATTTTCCATTTTGCTGAGACATTTGAAACATTTTCCCAGTTAAAAAAAAAAGTGTAAAACTAAAATACTAAAATAAAATAAAATAAAATAAAACAAAATTATTGCTACTACCTGTGTGTAACTCTTTTATAATAGGAGCTAATTTGGTAATAAGTTCCTTAACATTATCATAATATTTACACTCTTTGAATCTAGAAATTCCATGTATGAATTAACACTAATGAGATCATTCTTTACATGAGCCTAAAGATGCTCATCACAAGATGAGGATTAACAAGTACTGGTTAAGGGAATTTTGCTTTGTCTTGCCAGTGAAACATAGTGCATCCATAAAAATGACAGCTATAAAGATTAAATAACACATGGAAAGGCACCCATGTGATGGTGTTAAGTGAAAACATGTATGTTATATGTACATAAATACATCCATATGCATACAACTATATACATATATGATTAGAAAAAAAGATTATTGAATGGTAATAAAGCAAAGTACCAAAGTACATGTGTAAGGGTGGTGACTTGAAGGTTTTCACTTAAAGTAAATAAAAAACATCACTGAATGGTGCAGTGTATCAGGTAGTCATCCATCTTTGTATTTAGCAGTGTGTGTCCTATGTGAATGTTAGCCTTTCATTCTCTGTGTTTGAGAGTATGAAAGTAGATATGCTGTCTTTCCTCTCCGCCAAGTAAGAGAGTTGTCGCCCAAATAGGCAATGCAGCTGAAACATCCTGATAGTTCCTATTAAGGTTTAATAACCAGAATGACATTTGCCCAAGTAGGCAGAGGTACTGCTAGAGGATCAGGCTATATCAAAACCAAATGCCTGATTCATATTTGGTCTGGATGTTTCATTTCCTAGCTAACTGCGGGTGTATCTTTATGGTCTCTGTACAAATCAGCCATTTGCCTTGTACTTCCCAAGCTTGGAAATACTGCATGTATAATGCAAAGGGTTCATCTGTGTTGAAATAGAAGTGTGTGTGTGTGTGTGGGTGGATGTGTTCTTGTTTCTTTGAGGAGTCCCCGCCCAGTCAGGCTGATTTCCACTCCTTGGTGCCTTGGGACAATGATTTAAACTTAAAGCTTAAGCCCGTACTTTGTTGAAAGAAGAGAACAATGGGGAGGAGACATCGAAAAAGTATGTGTAACTACAATCCTGATGACTTCATTTTCCTCACAACGGCTCCTCAGGGAAATATTTTTCACCAACTTATTTTCTGTTTAAATTGCTTTTGCTTCTTGGGAGCCCAGCCCTCCTGGGCGGTGGGGGCTGGACATGTGGAAATGTTAGAGGCAGTGGTGGGAACAGAGGGACCGACACAGCCGACACCTTTGACCTAGACAGATTTCCAGAGGTTTGGGATTTTCAAAATATCATACATTTCGAAATGAACATACAACTGCTGTGATTTCTAAAAGTTAACCCTTGGTTTTCTGTACTGAAGGAGGGAGAAAAAGAAGTTGGCAATATAAAAATTGTTCATAAGGTTGATAGCGCATGACTCAATGTCTGTCTCTGGACCTCTTTCTACAACTACCTCCTGGGGTAGGGAGTGAGGTGGGAGGGGAAAAACCAAGTCAGCAAGTGCTGTCGAGACAACGTGCAGGAGATGGAAGCTCGTGGAGAAGTGGGCTGTGTTCTTCTGGCCCATTCACTCCCTCTCTTTTATTCCCTTTGCTACATGCTGACTCTGGCACCTCACTGTGCAGCCACTTTAGTTTTATAGACTATAGTTGTAGGCTGGAGGCAGGAAGTTCCAGAAAAGACTTGGACATGATCCAAAAGGAGAAAGGGAAGCACAGGCTTTCTCATATGACACTGCTATTAATGAGTGAAGAGTCCCAGGTACCAGACGGGCCCCGACCTCTGCCCTCACAGACCTTGGAAAAGTCCCTATAGCCTGACATCCTGAGAGTCTGGGCTCTACAAGTGTCCACACGCTCCTTTACAGCCCCCAGCCTCTTCTGCAGTTAGATCGTGCCCACCGGTCTGCGGTCCAGCAAGGAAATGTGAGCAGATGTGATCTGTGTCACTTCCAGGCCAAGGCCATTACTAAGAACCAGTCTGCCTCTTCTATTTCTCTTTTCCCTGTGGGTGGATGTGTTCTTGTGGGGCAAGCTGGAAGCCGTACATTTCAGACGTGTTAGCTACAAGATGAAGTGGGGCCACCCAACCTGAGTCAGACCTGGAATGGCTTAAAAATAGACCTTCACTGTGTTGATTCCTGTGATTTCAATTTCTTTGTTACTATGGCAGAACCTATCCCACCCTAATACTTGAGAGTATGAAAGTAGATATGCTGTCTTTCCTCTCCGCCAAGTAAGAGAGTTGTCGCCCAAATAGGCAATGCAGCTGAAACATCCTGATAGTTCCTATTAAGGTTTAATAACCAGAATGAATCTCAGCAAGGAATCTCTCCAACACTTGATTTTGTGAGAGAAAACTACTTTTCTAACAGACACACACACAAAAAATAGTAAACTGGAGACAGAAAAAGAACATGGGGGTAGGAGTTACGAGAGCGGGTACATTTTGCACTGGGCTGTGATTTACGGCAGGTCTTTGGTAAGCTGCCTGACTTCTGTAGTCCTCAGGTCTTCAAGTAGAGAAGTGGTTTTTTTCCTCTTTCTTTTTTGCGTTTCAAAAGACATGTAACCCTTTTTTCAAACAAAACCTTTCATGAGGGACAGTATATAAAGCTGATTAAAAAAAATAAATAAACTGCCAAACAAAAAACGAAAAACAAACAAACAAAAAAACGAACTGCCTCTCCCTTTAGATCATGACCTGCACATTCACTCCCCACCAGGGCCCCTGGGACATCGTTGTGGACCCACAAGCACAGAAGGCAAGCCACTGGCTTACCCTGCCCCCATGGCCCACCGTGGAGCTGATGTGGGTTCATTGTGAGCGCAGCTGTTTCTTACCTGTTCCACATGTTACACTGCATTCTGTCCAGCGGCCATACTGCCAGAAGTACACCAGCTTCTCCACATCATTGTCAAGGCCATCTTTCCTGATGGTGTACTCATACTTGATACCAGGGTTAGTCACCTGGAATAGAAGCTAAGAGGCAAGAGAAGGATGACATTGAACGATATCATGACTTTACGCTGCAACTCTGTCATGTAAAAATATCACACAATGTCCATCATCTTAAAGTAGTTATGGAGGCATGCACTGGGACAAATGCTAGTAAATTAATATATCTCTACTTCGACCTGTAAATCTGCATACAGCTATTTCTATATCTAACCTCTATTATTTCTTGACTAAATTGAGGGGAGGTCTAATCAAATGGGAATTACTATGAGGAAATGGCAAGGAATATCCTTTCCAACAATAGGCTGGTAGATCACCTCATGTACTTACTAACTTTGTGATTATGGGTAAGTTACTTAATCTCTTTGTGCCTTAGTTTCCCCATCTACAAACTGAGGATAATAATAGTATGACAAATAACGTTGTGAGGGTCAAATAAATAAGTGTAATGTATATTAGGTATAATTAGAGCAGTGCCTGCCATGTAGTTGGTACTCAATAAACATTGACTTTTATTACTGTTGTTGCCCTTCTCTAGCTCTCAGGCTGATTGGTTTCTTTACGCATATAGTTCTGAGATAAAAATGGTCATGGGTTTTAGCCAAGGCATACCACTCTTGGGAATGCCTTCCCTCTCCTGCAGGCAATCTTCTTGCCACATGAATTGAAAGTAGATTCATCTTAAACTTAGAGGGAGTGGATTGGTTATGCCATGGTTTTGGGGGTTCCCATATATAAATCCTTTCTCATGTGAGCAGGTAAGATGTCAGGTCTTCTGACATGTATGGACCCTAACTGTCAAGCCTTGAGGCTTCTGTGTGTGCTCTGATTTCCGACTCTCAAATGATCTCCTTCTAATATCCGAATATGGTTAGATTTGACTCTCTCGGGACCTCTGTCATCCCTGATCCACCTTGCCTCTACTGGTACAATAGTCCACCCCTTTATTATAGTTTTTGGCTAATATGAAAGACAAATCATTTGTGCTTTTCAAGAGTATATCCTACATCCTAACCCCTCCCCCCACCTAAGAGTTTCACTAAGTCAGACCCTTTGCCTGAGGACAATCACATGAGAACATGTGAAAGGACCATGTCAGTTCGTCACCTCTGCTGGAAAGCTACTTAGAAATTCATGCCAGGCTGACATAGACTGATAGCATTCTTCTTTTACCCAAGGAACAATAGCCTTAAACAGCCTGGGTCCACCATACTGGAAACCGAAGTCAATGAACAATTTTAGTGCCCCTGGCATTTCATAATGGGGGTTCTAACAATTTCTAGGCAATAAATGATTAACAGCATAAACTAATATCTTGCTTCCTTCCCTGTTCCTTGCTAAAAGAAGCTTTAAGAATTCTCAACTAATGTCCCCTGGCAAATACCTTGCAAAAGAAAATGAGAGAGATCATAACTAGTGTATATGTCGGCGGTTCTCTTTCTGTATTACCTGGATCCACACTGACTCATTGGTGGGACCCGCGGCCATCAGTTTCTCCAGGTCTCCTTTCCTGTCATACTGGAAGACAGTTCCTGCCAGTTTGTAGTTGCCATTCCATTGGATAATAAATCCTCCATTGAGGTAATATTTTTCAGGGTCTTCACTCCTGATGGCTAGAAAGTTTCCAGCTCCTTTCACCTCCATTACCCGTATGTCCCTTGCTCCTTTTGGAATCAGTCCGATGTCAACATAACCTAAGGAGAAAAGATACAACAATGAAAGAGGCATGCTAGTTTAGCTGAACACAAACTTTCTGACCCATCGTCACCTCTTCCCAGAATCTCCATCGCTTAGTGCCCTTGCCTCTTCCTGGGTGGTCACTGTGATTAGTAGATGCACTAAGTATGAGGGACTTTAAAGAGCTTGGCCATAAGCAGAATGCCCAGGAGCTTTGTGACTCGGTATGTACATTTTTGTGAGGAAGGGTGAAATAAATGCAGATCAGACTCTGAAGTTTTTGTAGTCGATTCAACATTTTTCTGTGACTTTACGTTGATAGTTCAAACTTTTGCATCCTCTAGCTAGCTTCCATTTAGCATCTCTGCTCCTCCATTTGTTGCTGTCAGATTAATCATCCTTTTACTCATCCTCACGGCCTACAGGTTAAAGACAGACTCTCAGGAGTAATTTCATTACACGTCAACTTCATGAAGAGAATCCTGTGGGGAGCCTGGGACTGACTGCCACCCTGGTTCTCTTGAATACAGTTTGGGATGAGAAACTCAGCCCTGAGCACAGCTTTTTATACAGCTGGAATGTTTTTTCTTAATTTTTCTTAAGCTTTGCTGAAATATGAACTTATATTTTCCTTTCGTGTGTTCTAATCCAGCCTCCTGAAGAAGCATAGAGGATATCCATTTAAAGACAATATTCAGTTCCAGCCACAGTCAACCTTGCTTACTGGTTGTTATGGCAGGAGACATATGGGGAGGGAAAGGAATTAACACGTAATGGTTTCCTCTCTTTAGCAGACTATGCTAAGCACTTTATTCATCCTATTCATACTTCTTAAGAACCACCACCTCATAAACAAAATGGGATGGAAAAAAAAAACAACATGGACTTTGGGGATGGCACCGAGAAAGGAGTATTGCAGCATAGGGGTTAGAACACTTGAGTTCTAGTTTTCTAGTTTCCAGTTCTAGTTCTATTGCCATGAACAAGCTAAACGATGTTCATCGACTCGTTTAACTTCTTTGAATGGCATCTGCACAATGAAGGGGCGTGAATGAGATGACGTCTGACGTCCCTCCCAGCTCTGTTAGTCTGTTATTTTGCCATTTTCTAAGCTAAACATTTTCTCTTCTTTCAACCTTTCCATATAAAACATGGTTGTAAGACCCTGATCATCCTGGTCTGGTCATTTCCACTGAATTTACACTAGGTTTTTCGGCCTGACAAGCAAACCTTCATCTTTGTCACGTGGAAGTGGCCTGACTGCTCCTTTTCTCTTGGACACTGAAGTAGCGTGGGGTCCTGGGAGCTGAAACCCTGGGCTGGCCGGCAGGAATGATTTGCTCAGGCGCCTGATACAGGCCACAAACTCAGTCCCATTTTTCAAACCGCAGCTCCCAGGCAGAGGAACCAGACGTGAGTCTTGTAGTCCTTGATCAATTCCATTTGGCTCCACACACTTACTTGAGACAGCAGGTTAAAACTACGAATTTATAACTAGCTCACAGAAAATATTTATCACATGTAATTGAGACTAATATAATTATTTTAATGCCTTTGGAGCATTGCTACCTATAGCTACTTTCTGACTTAGAATGTTGCATGGCTTCTCACAGCAGAACTCAAGCAGGAAAATCAACCAGCTACTACCTCATCCCTTGTGTAAAAACAAACACAAAAGACAAAGAAAACTAGGTGGGGAAAAAAACCTAAAGAGTTTGTTTTTCATCTTCCACTTAAGAGAGAAAATCCAAAATTATAAACGTTTGTCACAGGCAAAGTCTGAGGGGAGGTACATAAAATTTACAATAAAAGCTTTCAGGGAATATAAGTACTACTTCTGAACAGTTTGTAGACAGAAGCTTAAACTGAAGTAGATTTAGTCATGAGCAAATGTAATACATATTTGTAATATATATTCACAAAAGAATACCCAGGAGAAAGCCAGTGGATAAAATTACAGTAATTTGGAGTTAAAAAAGAACCATGATAAAATATCCGCCAGATTCTTTAGCACATGACAAAAAAGCCCACAATAGAGAGAGGTGTAAAATGAAAAGTAAAAGTTTCCATTTTCCTCCACTGCCAGTCCTCTGTATCAAAGATGGTTATAATTAATAGTTTATTGGGTTCTCTTACAAAATTCTTCTTTGCATGTACAAGCACGCATACACATATTTTTATACAAGTGGGATCATACTATATGAACTATCCCACCTATTGCTTTTTAAGATTAATATATCCTGTCATATTTTTTGAGCATTTCAACTACTGCAAAAATGACACAAACCCATTTATTTAACCAATCCGCTGTTAATGGACATTTAGGTGGAAGAGAATGGCTACCAACCTCTTTATCTAAAAAACGAGGAAACTAAGTTCCTAAGAGAAAAAAAAAATCCATGCCATATCACACAGCTAGGTGGAATATATATATATACAAAATCAGGTTTTACTAACCCCTAATCTAGTGTTTTAATGGAAAAAATGTGGTTGGCAGAACGGAGATGAAAAACAAATCCTCTTGTACATCTCACTCTCATGGGCCTTTTTATAGAAATGAGAATTATTTTAAAAAGTTGCAGAAGTGTTATTGAGACATTTATTCCATTTTGAGAAAAGGTTTTCAGGGTCAGCAAGACTATCTCCAAAGTATTCAGAATATATTTATCCAGCAAAATCACTTTTCTTCCATCATCCCCATTTTAAATTCTTCGAAAGACACAATCTGCTAAAAAAATTAATCTTGCCTTCCATTCTCAGTCTCCCACCATTTCAATTATTATTGTTTGTTTGTTTGTTTGTTTGTTACCAGATCCTTCTTTCTGCTTAAACATCTTCCTCACGGTCTGGCAGGCAGAGCCATCCCCGAGGCACACGCCACAGCGATCCTCCGTGGCGCTGGAATCGATCTCATAGTCACAGCCGACCATCTGCAGGAAGAGAGACTGAGGATGAATGACACAGGCAGATGTCACCCTAGCCTTGGGTCTCTGACTTCTCCTTTCCGCCTTTGTTCTTGATGAGAATGGGGTTGGGGATAGACACAAGGACAAACATTGCCTTTCCCTGGTGGCAGCAGAGGAATAACCACAGCATCCACTGAGGGTAAAGGAAATACTTGCTTAGAGGAGAAAGAAGTCCACACTGAGTGGGTCTCTAATCTCCCAAGTCAGAGAGAGAATTGAACACACTTCTCAAGATTTAACTATGAAAATGTCTTGGAATTGAAACTGGAGCAGCAAGTCCCTTTCAGATGTGCAAACCTCATGCCCCTCCTCTCTCTGGAGGCTTCCCAGGGGTGATGCAGTTATTCCACCTATACTCTGGTTGTTTGGCCCCTTCACAATCCTCACTGGATTATTCTCCCTGGTTCCTGTCTGAGGACAGCAGGTGAACCAGCGGCCATCGGAGAAAGGCTAGCTTAATGCTCAGACCACTCCAGTCCATGAGGGATGAAGTCTCTGACCTGCAGACCCATCATCAGACACTTCAGAGCCTCCTATGACCCTAACCCTAACTACCCTTCCCACTTAGCCTTATCCCACCCATCTTGACCTCCTTTCCTCCAGCTGCAGAGGAAGAACCGGCCATTTCTCCTCTGAGCCAAGACTAATCTTGCCCTGTGTGCTGGACCGAACCCCTTCTCAGTGTTCTGTCCATTGGATCTCCTGAATCATCATCTTTCCTTCCCCACTTATTTCTTCTTATTTCTTCTCTTCAGTCATCAACATGGCCAAGTCTCTCCCATCCTAAAATTCCCATTCTGGAAAAAGAGAGCATCAGTGTTTGGTAGCATCAGATACCAAAGTACTGTGACTCTTAGACTTATAAAACATGGGAGCTTCAGCTGAACTCCTCCGTCGCTTGCTTTCTTATGTGGCCTATGCTTCTATCCACATGTCAGCAGTAAGAGGGAAAAGTAGACCGTATTTTATTGGTCAGTTGGTTCTTTTCTGTTTGGGAAGCAAAATTGGGCCCAAGTAGTTTTTTTCTCTCTCAAAGATAGTTCTCTTTCTGATTTTAAAGCCACCTCTAATAGACTGAAAGGAAGAACAGTTCAGGTCGTTAAAGACACCCTCACTCCATTGGCTAAACAGAGCATCCACGCCCACTGACAGAAATAGCTCTATTCCTCAGGTTAACCACCTCTACTTTCCTGTAGGTCTGAAGTCTGTGCTACTGGAGCCAACTGTAAAAAAATAAAAAAAGTACTGAGAGATTTAAAAACGTAATCTGTTAATCACAATGGAAAGAAAAGAATCATGTAGATGTGAAGCCTTCAGTGGTCATGAGCAAAATGCCAACCTTTACAAGTGCTGTGCTTCCATCAAGGTGGACCATCCTCTAAGAAGCTGACCTTCACTAATCATATTCCTAGTGATCTTCTTTCCTTCACTGATTTAGAAGAAGCCAGGGAAACTTCCTCTGGCTTTTATTAATTTTAAAGTGTTTAAAAAATCTCTACCAAAACGGATAGATTTTTTTAAAAAACGTGAATAATAAAGGAAAGAAAGCCAGAAAAACAAATACCTTGAGCCTGTTTTTCTTCCCCAGCAATTACTGTGTGCATACCTGGGTGGGCGGGGGTGGGGTGGGGGGGAGAGGTTAGAGCAGGGGACAAACATGTCCCCAATATGCTGTCCCTAGCACATTAAATGGGTTCTTGTGGAGTCTTCTCCATTTGCTTCTTCTGTCAATGCACAGATTACAGTCAACACTGAACTAAGTATACAACATAAGGCATAAGCCAGTTCTCCTCGTTGCACATAAAACACAGGGTAAAATAAATAGATGTCACTCTCCTCATTCGTGCCACATGTGCTCTGGCAACAGGATCACAACAGTATTGTCTTTCTGCCTTCAACAGAATCAGAAGTGACTCTGCTGCTGCCATCAAATGTGGTCAATGACTCCAGCATGGCTCTCCTCCAATGTGACTCTTAGGGTGCACAGAGGCCACCCAATGGGCAGCGATTTTTTTTAAAAAAGAAAGTCACTTAAATTTCCCATCATATTATCACTCCTTTCTTTAAAAACAGCTTGTTGAAGTATAGCTGTTATATAAAATACTGCATGTATTTAATGTATACAATGAGTTGGGACTTAGACAAACACTGTGAAACCATCACCGCAATCAAGGCAACAGACATATCACTTCCAAAAGCTCCTTGTGTCCCTCTTTAACATGAAACCCATTGTCTTAACAAGTTTCTAGTGCATACCATGGCACTGTTAACCACGGGCACTGCGTCCTACAGCAGGTCTCCAGGACTTTGTCACCTGTCATAACCGAACAGCGACTCTCCACTGTCCCTTCTCCCCAGCCCTTGGCAACCACCACTCTATTCTCCAGTTCTCTGAGGTTGACTGGTTTAGATTTTCATACAAGTGGAATCATGTAGCATTTGTTCTTCTGTGACTGTGCTTATTTCACATTGCATACTGTCCATGTTGTCACAAATGGCAGGATTTCCTTCTTTTCTAAAACTGAATAATCTTCCGTGGGATATATATACACCACATTTTCTTTATCTATTCATCTGTTGATGGGCATTGGGTCGTTCTCATATCTTGGCTAGTGTGAATAATGCTACAGTGAACATGGAAGTACAGATATCTCTTCAAGATTCTGATTCAATTCCTTTGGTACATACCCAGAAGTAGAATTTCTGAGTCATATGGTAGTTCTACTTTTAATTTTTTGAGGAACCGCCATACTGTTTATCATAGAGGCTGCATCATTGTACATTCCCATCGACAATGTTACAAGGGTTCCAATTTCTCCACATCCTTGCCTATACTTATTATTATTATTTTTTAAATAATATCCATCCTAACAGGTGTCATCATTGTGAGTTTGATTTGTATTTCTCTGATGTTTAATGATGTTGAGCACCTTTTCATGTACCCATTGGCCATTTGTATGTCTTCTTTGGAAAAATGTGTATTCACATCCTTTGCTCATTTTTTAAATCAGGTTACTTGTTTTTCTGCTATTGAGTTTCTTATACATTTGGATATTAATCAATTATCGTATATGTGGTTTGCAAATATTTTCTCCCATTCTGTAGGCTTTTTATTCTGACGATTACTTCCTTCCCTGTGCAGCAGAATATCATCAATTCTTGATTCTGTCGTTTGCACTGAAGAGTGTCTTCAGAATTGGAGAAATTAGGTGTCAGTCTTTCATCAGGCCCTTAGCCCTACGTGAGTGAATAAGTAATAAGCATTCTTACCAATTCTCGTTTTTCCCTCATGAGTTAACATGGTTTTACTTGTAAATTCTCAAGTGACTGGGAACTGAAATACCAGTTGGTGTCATGACCTAATCCACCTGGAATGTCATCGTTTCTGCCTATGGTCCCTTGACAAAGGTGGGGACTAGAAGAACACCTGGTTCTAAGATCGGATTCATCTCAGCCAATGAAACTTTAGTGCGCAGATACTTAAGGCACAGTCATGCTTCACTGGAAAGAAAAGGTGAATGCTTCTGCCATTTAACTAATGGGACGGTAGCAATAATGTTTCCACACCATAACTTTGGGGGCCAAGAGATAGGATCTGGCATTCTGGAGAAAGATTTCACCCACTGAGAAACTGATTTGGAAATGTTCAGCATATCACTGAAATGACTAAAATGGCACTGAGAGAGAATAAAGAAGGTACAGGACAGTTTCTGAGAGGAATGAGAGACGGAGCTAACTTAGAACAGGTAGGTACAATACATGGGACTGAAGATATTGATTTTGTAAGGGCACAAATTCACAAAGCTGACTTTTTTATTTTAAGAAGTACAGAGTAGAGGCTGATAGTCAGATCAGAAAAGGTTGTGGTTGCTTGACCAACACCAGGGTCCTGGGGTGAGAGACTGATGGAAAGCTAAGAGGAATAGTCTAGGAGACAGCTAATGTGATAGATTAGGGCATCTAGGCTGTTTGGGAAGGAATTAAATCAAAGCTATGTTGACTGGGGAAAAGGGAAGAGTGAGCGAAATCAAAGGCAAAGAACTGGTTACCAGGAGAAAGGGGTGAAAGAGCTGGAAGGTTAGCAGACTTTCTAAGACAGCAGGTAAGATTGCAGAGCTGGGAAAGCTGGAGGAAGGGTGGGAATATCGGCTCATATATTTAAAAGCTTTTTCCATGTCACAAATGTGATTAAAAATGAGACATATCCTGAAAAGAGACAGTTTAAATTTATATCTTTGATGAACAGGCTTAGGAGTTCAGTTCAGTTAAAAAAAAATGGGGGAAGGCATAGGTAGTTACCTCCTAGAACAAATCCAATTCTGATCAAGGCTTAATAAGTCTCTTGACAATAGAATCTGTAAATCTAACATGCCAAAATGTTGGCAAATACCATCATTTCAAAATAAACAGCTGAATATATGAACATAAGCAAATATGTTAAATATTTATATAAATATAAGCAAACACTTTCATATCCACAGAGAAGATGAATTAGATAAACACTGCATACATTTTTTTCTGATAGTTGAACATGTATTGATATATAGTAAATGAATAAGACTAACAGCTGAAAATATCTACAATCTGGTCTTTGGAAGATAAATCGAATTTAGGCTAATAAGATAAATTTAATTTGACATAATTTTTCAGCCTAAAAACAGCTCAGTGTGATACAGGCAGAAAGTGGGTAATTATAGCTTCTAAAAGGTCTTGACTGATTTCCAGCAAGAGGAAGGCAAGCTGAGAGAATCTGGCTTATTCCATTCAACTGATTTACTTGGTTTTAAGAGAGGCACTCAAGACCCCTTATGCTCTGTTTAAAATGCCTGTGTTTTCCGTCACAAGCTAAAGATGCTATCTCTCTGCATGCAACGGTGTTTAGGTCTAAAAGATAATTTTAGCATCACATTCATTTCTCGGTGACATAACTTCTCAGCCCTAACTGCATATGGGAATCAGCTGGGGAATTTTTAAAATATCAATCACCAGGTCCCAAATTCCAGAGATTCTGAATTTTGAGATCGAGCCAGATATCAGTAGTTTTAAAAGCTCTCCAGGTAATTCTAATAGGCAGTCAGGCCTGAAAACCACTGCTTTAGACAGTGGTTGGGCTGTTTTGGCCACTTTGGGAACACATCTAACCTAAAATATAATAATTATTTTTTGGCTCTTTGTATTTACAATGGTAAATAGTGAGTCTAAAGAGAATTTTTCTGGCGCTTTTTCAAATCTACAGTCTGATTATGGCTTGCTGTTCGCTTACTCGTTCCTGTGAATCAGTATGCTGCCTCCTGTGCTCTGGTCACTACAGGAATAAATCAAAAGGCAGCTTCAAGTTGATAAGTGCATCCTCGCAGGGCACTGAACACTTATGGGCAGGAGCTATTTACAGTGGAAATTTGGTCCAGTAGGAAAAAAATTATGATAAATATTTGCAAAAACAAAGAAAATATATTAAGAGTTTATTGTGTGTCAGATCTCAACACATATGACCTTATTTCATCTTTCTGAAAACCCCAGCTAGGTATATATTATTAATATCCTAATTTTATGAAAGAAAATAGCATTGGAAAAATGTCTAGGGTTATACAGCTAATAAAAAATGGTAATGAGTTCATATTTTAGAATCTGAGCACTAAACTATTTTGCTTTACTAACAGTTAATTAGGTATTTCTGTAGTATAGTTTTATTTCATTGATTAAAAACATCTTTTCTTTAAACTGAGATTTATGCCTGCGTGTTGGGTCATAAAACTTGTTCTTTGGTTCCTTACAAAACAAATTGTGAGCAATGGGAAGGAATTCTTCAATGGCTGTACACATAAAAGCGTTAATAAATCAGGTCTAAGTAATTAATAGAAAGGTGGAGTTGGGTAAGAGAGCCAAAAGTGTGAAAAAGTTAAATAGAAATCAGAAGACCTGGTTTATAACTACTTGCCATGCATCTCTTTTTTTTTAAGAAGATCATATTGGTAATCAATAAAGAATTAAATGTAAAAATGCTTTGTGAAGAACACTATACAAACTATTATTAATTTCCTCAAATTTACCTACTCTGTTGGCAGGTAACCAATGAATAATTTAATGCCACAGAAATAACCTGGGTTCCCTTTTCCCAGTATTTCCTTCTTTAATTTGGTTCTTCTTCAATTTGATCTTGCTTTATGCAAATAATATCACAGAGCACAACAAATCAAGAAATAAAGACAATAGCAGGAGGAAAACTATTCAAGTCCAAACTCTGACATACACTGAGAAGTCTCGTCTCACAGACCATGTATAAAACGGACCACATGCAAATGACACGAGAAAGCAAAAGGCTAGAACATCTGACTTCCTGAATCAAAAAAGCATGATTTAAAAAGTTACAGATTAAGGAAACATACCCAATACCTTACACATGCCATTAATACAGACATTTCTGCTGTTGCCACCTTCGAAGCAAGGGGTACCATCAATGACAGCATCCAGCATTTTTTCGGAAAACTGGCCATCTATGGGTCGGCAGTAGAGCTCGCAAGGATGTGCTAGAATGAAAAAGAGACAAATCCTTACAAGTTAGGTTTTTAGCTCAGCACCCTTCTCCCAAAATTCTTTTGCATGTCTGACCCCAGGTGTCATTAATCTGCAGATTCCCATCTTTTACCTTTCTGTGGCACATGCTAAAAATGTAGGCTTTTTTCCTTTTACAGTTTTACAACAACTTAATTTGGGAAGATTGCTTTAAAATGCTATGGATTTTGTTATAAATGATGAGATCTTTATATTACCTAAAGCATTATAGAGATTTAATGCAATACCCATCAAAATCTCATCGGCATTTTTTAAAGAAATAGAACAAAAAGCACGCAGATATATTGTTGTCTTCATCTGGGTTAAAATGTCTGTATCAAAACTAAATATTAAAAGGGAGAAAGTTTTCTATGTTTTAAAAAATAAAAGAATACATGCACAAACCTGCTACCAAACAGTGCTTAGTGGCGACTGGAGACATATGATGACTATAAACGGTTTCTTCGAAATTAAATACATCTGCAGTCTAATAATCAAAAGACATTTTAAAAGTGTAAGTTCTAATTATAGTTACAAAAGCAACAAACTTTCTATTTATATTTTTCACATTGTTAGCAATTTTTAAATTGACTGTTAGCAATTATTTGACTTAAATGTAGGAGTGCTAAAAACCTGATAATTTTAAATCCTGTTATTTATAACACTTTTCTCCCTTTTGTGAGGAAAAAAAGTTTTTCTCTGATAAATCCCAGATATTAAGAAAAGACAACCACCTCACCATCTTCCTGTCTATCTCATTCTAGGGACTTCAGCATATACACAGATGATGTAGACAACAATCTGCCTCTCAGCTGCCATATACAGGACACTCGCATCTCTTAGAATTGCTCCTTCTGTATGGAGGTTCCTCAAAAACCTAAGAATTGATCTACCATATGACCTAGCAATCCCTCTGCTGAGTATTTACCCCTGAAGACTTGAAAACTCATATCTGAAAAGATATTTGCACACCAATGTTCATAGCATTATTCACGGTGGCCAGGACATAGAAGCAACCGAAGTGTCCTACAATAGATGATTAGATAAAGAAGCTGTGGTACATATATACAATGGAATATTACTGAGCCATCAGAGATGAAATATTGCCATTTGTGGATGAACCTCAAGATAATCATGCTAAGTGAAATAAGCCAGACAGAAAAAGTTGAAAATCACATGATAACACTTATATGTGGGATATAAACCTAGAAGCAACAAATGAACAGGCTAAACAAACAGAGACTCATGGACATGGACTATACTCTAGTGGTTACCAGAGGACTATAGAGTAGTGGTTACTAGTGGGGTCGGGGAGGAGGGAGGAGGTAGATGGGGTAAAGGGGATCAAATATATGGTAGCTGAAGGAAACTGGACTTTGGGTGATAATCACACAATAGAATATATAGATGTCAAGTTATAATGTACACCTGAAAATTATATAATTGTAGTAACCAATGTTACCCCAATAAACTTAATAAAAAAATATTAAAATAAAAAAATGATGAGATCTTTTAATCTGACATCAAACCGTGCTTGTAAAAATAAGGCACGGCACATCTGGCTTTGGCCTGGAAGTTAAGTAATATCAACCAGTGACATGGGATTTTGGCAAGCATGACACTCGCCCATTATTTGCAGCAAAGTAAGTAGACCTCCAGGGGAGAGGGGGTCCTCTTCCACAGGACCAGCTCGCCAATAACACTATTACCACTATTGTAACCCCATCCCCAACAAATAGACTCCCTTAATTCTCAAGCCCAAGTCCTTGGACACAGATTTACAACTACAAAGAAACAAAAAATCTGCTTTTTTGGCCACGGTTGAAGTCAACTTGCTTAACACAATGGTCCATCCCGTCATACTGGGTCCTGCATTAAACTCATTTTAAAGTTCAATTTTCTATGCCCTATGGGTGCTGGTGACCTCTAACACAGAACTATTCTAAAGATTTACTTAATAACATGCATAAGTACCTGTATAGGTACTTGGGAGTAATCGGAAAGATAGATAACTTTTAAAATATAAGTTGCCTTAAAGCTTTCAATAGGTAATATAGGTCTATGATAAGAAGAATTCAAATATTAATTTTCTTTTGAATGTTATGTCTTATTTTCTTTAGGTGAAAAACTTGAGACTGTCCTGTTTAGAAAGGTCCTTTGGGGATCTCTTCTGGATATTCTTATTAGGGGAAGGGCAGTGAGTTTCTTGGTGATGTGACCAGCTGAGGGCTCAGTGAGACCAGCTATGAAGCCATTTGCTGTGGACCTGCCTTAGTGTGGATGCGCACCAAATGCAAAGCCAGAACATACAGCTCTGGGTGTGGCTGCTTGAGGATGCAGTGATCTATGTAGTAAGTAAATAAAAGTGTAAAAAACTTATACAAATAAACTTAAAGCAGAAGCTTTAAACACTGAAATTCTGGATGAACTTGAGACAGAGGTCAAAAGCATGTGCTCAAAGCTTAAAGAAGAACGGTAAATAAAAAAAAAAAAAAAAAGCAAATAAAGAATACCAACTGATTTTATATAAGGTGCCATGGATAAGTTGTCTGAGAAAATGAACAATCAAAATGAGTTGGAGAGATCACTGGACAAAGTGCCAATGGAAAAGGGCCAGAAGCCTCTGGGGACAAGATGTAAATCTTCATTCCTGGCAGCGTGATAAGCTCTGCCTCTGCCTGAACTGTAACAAAAGTACTTAGAGGGAGCCACCTGGGAGCAATTTTGCTCCTAGAGATGAGAACATCCTTCCATGTGTGCTGAGCCCAGGGAATCATTTCATGAAACTCGGGGCGATATATCAAGAAGGATGGAGGCAGAGGAAACACTTTTAAATAAGGCTTTGATTTGAGCTTTAGAATTTGGATTTGGGGCTTTGTATTTGGATGCATAAAGCAAAAAAGAGAAAGCAGTCCTGAATAATTCTGGAGCTTTCCTAAAGAAATAATATGTTCCAACCTCCTGGGAAGGGCTGAAACTAGAGGTGCCTAGGGTGCAAATTTTGAGGGATTCACTCTCAGGGTTGTATAAATGAGTCCTCATAGCAAGTAACCCCTCCTCCAATGGCCAGCATTGCACCGAATTCCAAAATGGTGAAGTTCCAATATTTGCCTTAGTTTCATTCTCTCTGGGCTTATGCTGTTCAACTCATTCCCTGAAGGATAAAACTACCCTGAGACATTTGCTATTCTTGTTTATACAGTGAGTTTAAAGGAATTTTGATTGTTAAAACAATATATTATTCGAAATTATGTCCCAGATCTTGTTATGCTCTGCAGTGGTTATCTTATCTCATTTTAACAATCACAACCACCCTATAATGTTAGTTCTTTTATTATCCGATACGATTTCATAGATGAGAAAAACCTAGACATAGAGAGATTAAGTTTCCCAAGATCTCACCATATGACTGGCAGAGCTAAACCTGGTGGTTTAGCTTAGAACCCTTTCTACTAGTTACGAGGTTAGTAGGTGAGAGCCATAACCTGCAAGCACACAAACGAAAAGAAATGTCTTTGATGAGCTCTTTAAAGTAATCCCTCTTCACGTTATTAGGTGATGCATTTACTCATGGATCATAACTTGGTAGAACACCGACTGGACTTCATTTTAATATTGTCTCATGGGGCTTAAATATGGTGCGAATCACCAGCCTCTGGAACCATTTACCTCTACAGAGAGCAGATGTAAAAGTTTTAGTCTACTATTACTTTGAGGAAGTTACTTAACCTTTTTATGACTCAGTTTCTTCATTTGAAAAATGAGGAAAACACACCTGCCTAGCAGAGCAGTTGCGAGGATTAAAACAGAGACTGTATATCAAGCACTCGGCACAGTGCTTGGCATACGGTAAGTGCTCGACAAGTGACAATCGTTATGTTGCTGTTTTCACCTTCTGACCATGAACTTGATGAATTATAAAGGTCCTTGCAGCTGCCCCACATGCTATGCTTCTATCATTCCAATCTTCTCTCATAGCCCTAAAGACATGTATTGTATGATGCTGGCTCAATTCTCTCCTCACCCCGAAAATCTTTTCTGAAATATTCTTTTCTCCTTCAGAGAGAAAAGAATATGCTAGTTCTGATCAATTTTGCACATAATTCATACTTTGTTTTACTATTTTCTAAACAACTGCTGTCTTGCCAGTGTAGTATAAAGAATTCTAGATCCCGCTAGGGCAGTAGGTGATTCCATGACTTTCCTAAACTATGACTGTGGACCTGGTCCAAAGATGTTCTGCTCCTACAAGGACTAATGAGTTTCCATCAGTTCCAAGACTATGAATTTTACAAGCTCCTCAACTGAACTGCAGTGTCCTCAAGGGAACCTAAAGTCATCTGTGCCTTGATCAGCTACTACTGGCCAGAGAGTATAAAGGAAGAATCATAACACTGGTGAGGACTCAAAAACACAGCAGAGGTGGAAATAAACGCCTTGGTGGTTCTCCTTCACACAAGCTGTGGAGTTAGATCCACAGAGATTTAAATCCCGGCCCTGACTCTGACAGCTTGGCGAAGGCCTCTCTGTCTCTGGTCCGCAGAGAGGGGGCTGTCAGAGGGCAACATGTTAAAATCTCCAATAAGGTGTCTGATATAGAGTGGTTGTTTAAATGTGGTAATTATTACCATTAACCTTTCCTAATGGGTTCTAAAGAACATTACACATAGAAAAACTCACGTTTGCTAATTAACAGACATGACAGTGATAAATACTGTTAGAGAGAAACTTTGGGACAAATGACAAAGAGATAATTTCAACCTCAGAGATCAACTCAGCCAGTCATCACAATGGACACTGGCCTTAGTGACAGAAGACAAAGATGTTCGTTCAAGCAATTACACGTTTATCCAGAAAGAAATGGACAAATTAATTAAGTTGCATTTACATAATGGAAGGCTATATAGTCACTAAAAAGAATGAAGTAAGCCATGATGCCACAATCTTCTGCTCAGTGAGTCCAGAGAGTTGCAGAATCAGTAAAGAATGATTCCATTTGCATGCAAACAAAAACATGCTTGCAACAATAGTTGCTTCTGAGGAATAAGTTAAGCATGATAAGCTACTTTATTTCATTCCATTGGAAAACTGGAAAGGTTTCCTTTTCCCTATAATAATCATAACATGTCTCCATGAAGAGGCCCTAATTTCAAGATTTCTATCTTGCTCCTGCAGTACTGAACTAGTACATCCTTCAAGGTAAGGCAGGCTAACTGAAGCATACTACATTTAAGAAACACGAATTTCTGTTGAGTGTAAGAACAGTATGGAGTCTTAGGAATGTCTAGCAAAACAAACCTTCATGGCAACAACAATAATGCACACAAACCCACACCTCTATGATTCTCCCAGAGTTTGCACACCAATGACCTATATGTGTACCTAAGGCCAGAAAGAAGCCTGTACTTGAAAGTAGCCACTGTGAATTCAGGGCTATCCAACAACTTACAAGGCTGAACCTAAATCCTGCTTCTTTGTCTTCACCTCTGGCCTTTGTTTTCATGGTGCTCTGGGATGTCATTAGGTTGGCCTATGATGCAGGGCTCTGCAGAAGGAGGAAGGGGTAGCAATGGATGGTCTTAGTTCTCAATGGTCATCATGAGTATCAGAGAGTCACTGTTCCAGATAGCAACCTCATAAATTACATAATCTCCATCAGAATTGAGTATTTTCACTGTCTCAGATGTATTCATCTGCCCTGACACATCCTTTTGTCTGGGTCATGTGACTTTTTTTTCCCCTCTAGCTTTCAAGAGCTTTTAAATCCATTTATAACTCAGCTAAGTGAAAACTCTAAAACTAATTTACTGGGAAACTCTCACCCTCACACGGGCTGATTAATCCTCTCAAAGGAAGCTTAGGTAATGGAATTAACTTATTGAATCAAAGGTTGCATTTTCAATTTGCAGAAACAGGACAGCTCAACATTTTTGGATAATGATCTTAAAAAATGATCATTAGAAGTGAAAGACAAAACTTGCTAATAAGGATAAAAATAATTCTTAGGTCAAGGAAAAGTTCTGATGCATTTCATAGTTTCTGAGTAAATTGCAATTTCGGTTTTACCATTAAAAAAAAAAAAATCCAGTTTCTAAAATCCATTTACAGGAGGGCTCCATGGGTATGAGTCCTGTGCAGTCGCCCAGCACCTCACACTTGTCTGAATGCTGTGTTGTTGCTGTCTTGAAATCCTTAGTAATTTTATAGTTGAACTTGTGTTTTGTAAGTGAAATCCGATGACACAGTGAAGCATGTACATGAACAGGAGAGATTTGTGATATGCGTGGCTGCCGTTCCTTGCCAGACTTTAAGGAATGCTAAACCTTAAACGAAGGCATAACTTAAAATGTTTTATAATTATAACAAGAAATATTCAACTCGAAAAAGCAGCTCAGTTTAATGATTAGGCTCAGATCAGCTGGAGGGAAAAACAAAGCAAAACAAAACAAAAGCCAACGCAAAGTCCTGATCAAAAATCCCAACTGAAAATCGACAAAGTAATTACCAAGATTGTAACTCTGAATGGTCTAAGATGGTATTCTTTTACTTTCTGATATGGATGTATTATTGGAATTCCCAAATATATCAAAATATATATTAGTTAAACCTAAGAAGTCATTAAAATTAATAAATTCTACAGTAACCACGGAATGGTATAAAAACAAGAATAGAATTAATTTTTTAAAATGAATTAAACCCACATCATTGATGTATTAGACTAGGCTATATCTAGTAATGTTTACTATTTACTGTATATTTTTAATTTCTTTCTTTTGGTTAAGATGTTTAAGAATTGGGATGCTAAATTTGGAATTGCAACTTAAATTGTTAAAGAAATGAAATAATTTTGTCATAATACTTAACTGTTTAGAAAAAATTGGCTTTCAAAGGTAAGATAGATAGGTTGAATAAAGTGAGTACTCATCATCATAGGACAAAGAGTTGTTGTGGCTCTTCACCTACCCCCAGAGCTCCTTGGCCATGTTTCTGAGTAAATTGCAATAAAAATATGAACATCTTCTTAGGTAAATTCAAGGAAATGAGAGTAACCCAATCTCTTTTGCTTTAGTAGTTTTAATATTTAGGCTGCAGAGTTAGACCTGGGTTAACTTGGCTCTATGGCCTGAGTTTGGCCACGTTACTTAAATTCTCTAAATCAATTAGCTTATCCATAAGAATTGGGTCAAAATTAAAAATTTTTTTTCATAGAATTTTCTTGTGGATATAAAATTAGGGAAATGTATTGTTAAGTGCTGAGTGAAGGGCTAAGCACAGAGCAAGTACGATAGAAGTTTAATATAAGCTGTTTTCATTATCAGTTAGGAATGAACAAAAAATTTTGAAATCAAGTTTATGGATAGCAGTTACAGATTCGTATGGGCTGCAGAATCTAATTTTTTTTTTTTTGGTGGGGTTTTTGGTTGCAAGTATTGAAAAAATCTTGACTAACAGTTGTAAATGACAACAGTTTAGGACAACCCAACCTGCAATCTCAGGATAGTTCTCAATTAAATTGTGTCGAGGGGAAATTTTTATTCTATGGTCTACAGAAAATCAAGTTAATTTGACAGTGTAAATTAATGCACTGGTGGTCTCTAGTATGTTAAAATCTGAAATATAATATTTTTGAGTATGAACACTGTTCTCTATTGCACTTCTATGAAATTTTTTTTTGAAAAATGAAATTAGAATTAAGCAATTTTGTAAGCCCTGAGATTCCATGGAACAGAGTTTGCAAACTTAAAGATTTGATGGAGTTTCTATGCTTATTCTAAATGTCTGAATCTATGATTCTTCTATTACTGGCTGCTTGGCAAATCTGCCAAAGGTCATGTACCAGGACACTGAACACTCTCCATAGGGTGGGTAGGAAACTCTACTGTACATATATTTTATCCTTCAGTGACTTCTAAGGGAAATGCTGGGAGGGTATAAAGTGCTTGATGCCTGGCACAGAATAAATGCTCCGTACATAGTTGTTGACCAAACAACTTTTTGTCACTATCAGGGATGCCTGTCAACTAGACAAATAACAATTCTTTAAGACAGAGTTTGATGTGTGAAAGAAATAAGTGCTTTGTTCAAGGTAGTAACTACCTGGATTAGCAGGTAAGTCGCTATGCTCAAGTAATAGTACTGGAGCCTGTAAGAAAGCCAGTGGGATGGAGGATGAAGGCCTGCAGCCCAGGTAGGCAGTGAACTTAATTCCATAATATGGTTTATTCAGCCTCATATTAGTTCTAGATGCAAACCAATCACTCCAAAATCAGTGATATTTATGTCTAATTTTATAACTCTTATTTCTTTAGTACCTATTGCTATGCTAGACAAAAAAGTACACACTTGATAAATGCTCATAAAAAAATGAAAAACCAAGCTGAACCAAATCTTTTATTCAAAGTCTAGTTACCCAAGCCATCAAAGTTTAGCAAACAAGTCCACCCCTGTCATACTACTGTGCAGCTATGCTGCCTTAGTTCTGGAAGGGTGGTCCTTTCGGGTCCAAAGGACCATGGACCCAAATAGTTTCAACAAAATAGAGAATGTCCAGAATACATGAAAGATAGTACCTTTTATCATTAGTGTTTTATTATTATTATTATTATTATTATTATTATTATTGTTTGTTTTTGTTTTGTTTTGTTTGAGTCCACGTGAGACTACACATGCGTTTTCTTATATTCGAAGGCCTGATTCAGGAAGCTAAATCGCACCAATAACCAAATGACTTGCTCTTCTAGAACATGAATGATGCTAAACAATGCGGGGCAAGGAACAGATGTTGCTCATGACAGCCAGTAGCTATCAGGGTATTCTGGAGACCCAAAATAGTGGGCAAAGCACTACAGGGTCTTTCTTTCGAAAGCAATTGACTATATCATTTTTATACCAGTTCAAATATGTACTTTTCATTCATTGGCTGACATCTAAGATTCCTCTTGTGTCCTATCACACTGGAATTTCAGGAACTTAAAATCGTTAAAAATTTTGTTATTTTTTACTTCCTTGCCTCAAATCTCTGTAGTTCAGGAAATTCCTTTCTATTTTAGTCGTCACTGGAAGAATAACAGCCAGAGATACTTTGATGTTAATCTATAGCTAATGGTTAATGATTCTGCTTCATTTTCAGAAGAGAGGGTGTAAGTGTCTCTGATTCAAGGGCAGCCTTGCCAAGGCTGCTGTTCCATCCTCCAACTCAGTTATGTCCCCAGTCCCTAATGTGCATCCTTAGATGCTTGCTTTTTACTTTTTATCCTTCTTAAACTGTCTTACACATATAAAATGTTGATTTCTGGCCCAGAGCTGGCTCTCATTATCTTCTGATGAAAGTCTTCCTACCATCCTTCCTTGTGCTGTTCCCCCACATGGAATGGCTGACTCTACTTTGAATGCCTTTCTTTTTCCTTCTTTCAGAAGAAAGAATCAAATCTTTCTTAAGAGCTAACTGCTTCCTTGGAAGCTGTCTTTGAAATTATTCCAAACCCACAGTGACTTTTTTTTCTAAGTTTCTGCCCAAAATTGCAGTCAGTTCCACATTCTCATCAACTTGTACTTTCATCAGTTAGGAAATCCCTACATGCCCCCATTTATCACTTAGTTGTACCTCAGCTGTTGTGAAGCGAGCCGCCACGTTCAGTAAACTTCTCGTTTATCTCCCAGAGCTCTGCACAGACTTGGACAGACTTAGCCTTCAACATTTCCTAATCAACTTAACCAGATCAGCGTTTTCATCTTCTAACATAGAAAACGCCTGATGGTCTAATTCCCTTTTCGTGGAACTTTGCAGGGCATCACAGACCCCTGACATATCCAGGCTTTTTGGTAATGGCTGCGGCCCCAGATCTGGAATATACAGTTATGGTTTCTTACCTGGATTAAAAACTGGAAACCAGTGGTAGAATTCATTCTTGTAGGGAACAGTGTCGAACTCGCTGCACTGCATCTGCCGAAACGTTGGTGTGCCCGGGGGGCAGGCGTGGACGTTGCACAAGCGATAGCGCTTTCTTTCCCCCGTGCAGTACTTCCCGCCAAACTTTGGTCTATAAACGGCACACACAAGCTGTTCTTTTAGTGTCCTTAAAGGCCAGCGTCATCCTTTAAAAAGCCCTGGCATCTGGCCATGCTCATTTCTTGCTAAACCAGGTCCCTCTTGACCCTCAAAACTCACCTTTTAAATAAATCCGTTCAATTTCATACTTTTTTTTTTTTTTTTATGTTGTTGACCATGAATCATCAGTCCCAGTGTATAGCTGCCTATTTTGAAACAGCCTGACCCCTTCCCATGGTCAATCAGTTGCCTGGTCATCAGCTGTATCTTTACATTTGTTTCCTCCTCTTCATTTCCATAATCACCAAACTAGTCCAACTCTTATTTCCATTCCTGTCTCCTCTCTGCCCATCCTTTTTCCTCATTCAGCCTATTGTGTGCACTATTATCTGGTGCACATAATTACCTTAATTTTTTTTTTTAATTACCTTAATTATTTTCACTTCTTGTTTAAAAGATTTTAATGGCACCCAATGGCCATAGAATCAAGTCGAGCCTCCTGAGTTTGACCTGCAAGGCCCTCACGATCCTGACTTAATGCAATGACTTCGCTTCCCACACTCCCCTTCATTTGCACACTGCCCCAGTGATGTGAGCTGACATTTACTATTTGTTTTTTGTGCCTCTGGATAAATTTCTCCTCTCTTAAGTCTCTAAATGTCTACATGCTACCTATGCTCAAAGGACCAAATAAATGCTATCTGCATCATGAATTCTTCCTGGAATCCTGCCAGAAGTGATCTCTTTCTCCTCTTAAATGACACTTCATTATCCTACTGTATGTTCTTCCTGTATTTAGCACTCCGAAAGTTAATTCTTTGACCCAAAGTCATATTCATTGACTCCCTGAAGGAGGTATAAGGAATTGTCCTTGATATTTGAGGTTAGGCTGGTTTTCTACTCGTTATGACAGTGACAATCTATGACTTGGAATCTCTCCAATTCACTTCCATCCAACAAACATCACTGAGGGTATTTTACGGGCCAGGCCCTGCTGGGTTCTTACTAGACAGCTGACCAACATCAAAGACACAGTCTCAAGGTCACTTGGTCATGCACAGACACGAATCTATGACCTGAATCATAGAACTGAATATGTGCCTGCGTTTCCATTGGCATTGTTCTCAGTGAACTTAAGCAAACCAGCTACCAAGATCAGATATGGTCACTCACTTGAGGAGACTTTATGACAAAATCATGGCCTCTGAGATGGGAGTTAGAACCATTTCCCCCTGAAGATAAATTAGAGAATCATCCTTCAGTTCCTCAACACGGATGTCCTTTTTCTGATAACCACAGGTCACTGGCCATTCTCTCAAGAAGGGCACAGACTGGTAGTAGCTGATACATAGCACTGACAAGAGGCGGCAGAACAGATTGCCTCTCTCTAAAATGGAAATCACTTTTCTGATCACATTGAAATAAACTATAAAATAGATTTTCTGTAAAAATAAAGTATAAGAAAGTCCTGGTTTTATATTTTTGAATTTGCAGATATCTTATATTTAAACAAAAGCAAATTTTATCAAAGGGTAGGATTTTAAAATAATTTTGTCCGAATTCCTCAGATGTACATTTATATGTATGATAAATGATAAGTAATAATAATGACTATAATAACTACCATTTACTGAAAATTTTCATAGTAGGTATTGTAGTAAACTCTTTACACATATTAACTTATTAACCCTTAGAAGAAATTTATTATATATGTAATGGATATGTGCATATACACACATGTACATATATATATAATAATATATTTATTAATAAAAAGATGTAAGATTTGGAACTGGGACACTGAGGGAATTGCAATCACATTTATCATTTGCCTTTTAAAAAATGTGCCTCTTACTCTTCAATGCAGACTATATAAAGCTGATTAAAGAAGTTTAATACATTTTCCACTTACAGGAGGCATCATATGTATACTTTTTAAAAATTATACTTGGGAACTAGTATACCAGCAAATAATGAAATTAAGAATGTAATATAAATTTGGAAAATGAGGGAATTTAAATTTAATTCATATATAATATCTCTATACAAATTTAAAATATAAAAAAATAAGCAGTTTGATTAAAAAATTGAAAGCCCCTTGTGTAATAACTACTATGGAATCTTTAACAGGCTAAAATGGATCATTAAGGTTTACAAAATCTTTACCTAAAACATTAAAAATAACAATCCTCAAAAATGTGCCTAGCTATATTTTCTTAGTTACCTAAGGGAAGGAAAATATTTTTATAAATTGTACATTCATTATGATTGAAAGAAAGCTACAATCTTATCAGCAAAATTGAGTCTAACTAATCTCTCACTGATAGAGGGGAGTTAATCTAGAAGGATTTAATTTTATAATCTCCTAGAGGCTTTCATTTTGAATGTACTTTTAAAAGAAATGTGCTTGTTTCTCCAAGCAATGGAGTCAGCTTACTTATCAAAGCTTCAGTAAGAATCCAGTGCCAAAAAGACAAAATGAGGCAAAAACAAAACAGAACCATTTTCCCCCCATGTTCTATGACTCTTTGGGTTCCCTTTGGGAGCCCACTGAATTTCACTCTGGAGGCTCGGGGTCACTGATGTTACACTAGCCAAGTCTCCCAGAGCTCATAGAAGGACGGAAACGTTTTTGGCTGGACTTACTCGGGGTTGTTGCAGAGCCTCTCTGCACTCTGGGCTCCGGCCCCACAGGTCCTGGAGCAGTGGGACCAGGGAGACCAGCGGCCCCAGCCTCCGGGAATGCTCTCTGGTTTCTTTCCCACCGTGATGCACTTGCCAGCCATACACCACTGGAAAGGGAGGAGCAGGAGATGTCAGGAAGGTTCCCATAGCAAGCTGAGCCACGAACCCTAAAATTCAACCCCAATTCTCCCTGAGCGAGCAGGCTTCCTACAGTCACACATCACATGGAGAAAAGGGCTCATAAAACTCCAAGAGCCTTGGGTTTCAGTCAGAGAATTTCAGGAATTGAAGAGAACTTTATGGTGCCTAGTTACAGCCAATGCAGAAGTGTCACTCAAAGTGTGATTGGCAGATTGCATGCCACAGTGTAAATCAACACATCGCTTTTTCTCACTGAGAAAGCCTTGCTATGAAAAGCTTAGTATGCTCAGTAACATAGTCGTTTAGTAACATAATTGATTTATATTACGTTTCTGGTGCAAGCCTCTAATCTTGTTGTAGAATATAACAAACGTTTTGCAGACTGGCATTGTGATAACACTTCTTTATAGCTTCTATAGATATTTAATGTCAGCAAAAGGTAACTTTATCCTCCCAGAAAAAGTCCACTCATTGCCAAAAAACACTACTTGTTGAGAATTTTAAGTTCTTTCTAATATCGAGGAAAATTTCTGCTTTCCTATAACTCTACCTATTGTTTCCAGTTCTGGCCTTTCAAGTGACTCAAAAGAAAAATTCACACTCTCCCTTTTCAAAGCAACCCTTCAACAACAATCACTTTATTTAAACAAAAGGAAAACAAAGGAAAATACATCTTGGTTGTCAGAGTGGCCATGTTTCCCAGAGAACTTGGGCATGTTTTATTTGTTGTCTTCATTGCCCCAGTACTTCTAGTCACTGTGTATCTTGATCCAGTTCTATCATCTCAGTGATGGCTCAGGTCATACCCCGGCTGTATAAAGATTCCCACTAAATGCCTAAGACCTAGATCCACAACAAGCCCAATTGATTTTGTGCAGCAGTACACATTGCCCTCTTCTCAGGAAGTCTGGAGAACGTCTAACACCTCTGAGCTCCGGGGTGTCTGGCTTTCCTGCTTAGTATATAGTGGGCAGAAGTTCAAGAAACACAGTCAGGTCAGATGATGAGAAAAAAGACTGTAGGTCTGTAAGTGGCCCCAAACTGTCATCTTTGGAAAGAAGGCCTTGGCTTGTTCTTCTCAATCTTTAAAATGGAGGGGAAAAAACTCTAAATGAAAGTTGATAAGCTCAGCAGATATTATTGACCGCAAACTCCATAGAAATTCATCAGGGAAAGATGGAATGGGTATTTTGCAAGTAAAGTGTGGGATTGGGCCTCAGCCCTCTCTCCTCAGCTACTTGTTTCCAGTGAAGGCTCAAAAGATGTAGTGGGAGCGAATCCTTCCTCTGGCTGGACTGACTATGCGATCCCCATTCCCCTGGAAACACCTGCCCTCCTTCTCAGCTCTTCCCAAGACCTCACTCTATGCCCACCGCCCGTCCTCCCCCAGCCTGACGCATCACCTTCTTCTCGCCACATCGTGTTCCATCTGCAGCAGCATCCAGCTTTGATCGACAAAAGCCCTTCACCGAGCACCACAGTGTCTGGCAAACATTCTGGAAAACAAAGGTGAGATTGCACTTCTTCGCATTTTCAAAACTTGCACAAAAGCCATTTCTACAGTGATGGTAAAACATACACACTCACCCACATATCTACAATGACTACTGCCCAGCACTCTTGTTTGCTCAGAACAGCAGCCTTCTGAGTGAACAAGAGTGATGGACAGCAATCATTCGAGAAGTCTCAGTTCAAATTTAATTTGGACTTTGCCATCATTCATAAACAGTGATCTGCAGACCATACTGGGCAATAAGAAAATGGGAGATAAAAGCCATTTCCTAAAAGTTGGGACTATAATTTCGATATGTGTGGCACAATATCGTTGCCCTTAGGTAGGGTGACTGGTGACATTAGCCATCATAAGTCAGACAGAGAAAGATAAATACCATATGATTTCACTTATATGCAGAATCTAAGGAATAAGAACAAATGAACTGAAAACAGACACACAAACGTAGAGGACAATCTGGTGATGGCCAGAGGGGAGGGGCATGGGGGGCTAGAAGAATGGAGTGAAGGGTTAAAAAAGTACAAATTAGTAGTTGATAGATGGTCACGGGGATGGGGAGCACGGCATGGGGAATGCAGTCAGCAGCAATGTAATGGCTAGGTGGAGAGCCAGAGGGAAGACAGAGTAATCGTGGGGATTGTTTCATAGACTATATAAATGTCTAACCAATGTACTGTATACTTGAAACTGATAATAAAATGAAATAGAATGGTAAAAGAAAAAGGCCAATCCAAAAACTGGATAGAAAGCATCTAATTAGTTGCGCCTGCTCACGAAAGGATATGGAAACTATTCCATCTAGGAAACCTCGTCTTCTTTACTTACTACGCAAAGCAGCCAGCTTGTTTTATCTGTCAGACTCTAAGAAAGGAGACCAATCAGGGGAAAACTGCAGTCTTCTAGCAACAGGTAGATTTTAGAGATATTTAGGAGGCAGAATTGGCATAATTTGGTAACCAGTTAGAAATGAGGGGTTAGGGATTTTTGCAACAACTTTATCGTCTCTGTTCAGCTTTGCTTGTTCTAAGTACTTATTTATTCCCTCCTCAAAGTTCTTTCTATATGTCTCTTTTTGTCTTTATCTCACTGTATTGAAATTTTCCCATTTGCCTCCTCCACCAGAGCACAAACTCCTCAAGGACAGAGACTCTGTCTTATTAATGTTGGAGTGCTCATCTTTTTCCTCTTATTCAGTATGCAGCACAGAAACTGGCTTGTCCATGCCTATGTGTTAACAATGATACTTTAGCACTAAAAGGGCAAGAGTTCAGAGAATAGTCAAGATCCAGACGACACAGAAATGCCGCAAAAAGGAGCCGGGACTTTCTCCTGTGATCTCCGGTGGCACCTTTAAGAGCGCAGTAGAACCATGTTAGATAAGTGTTTTGAAATAACTTGAGAAACAAACAGTGTGGGTGGGGAGAGATCAGGTAGGAGGTAATTACAATAGCAAGGAGAGATGATGAGGGACCATCAGTGGGAATGAAAAGGACATGACAGAGCCACAAACTCTTCAGGAGTTTAAATGTCAGGGCCTGCCTTCTCATTCGGATGCTGAGAACAAAGGAGGAGAACGGACTGGGGATGAACCTTTGTCCTACCTTAGGATCTGGTGATGCTCTTCAACTGGATGAGAAATTCAGGAAAGGGGGCAATTTTAGGGGTTAAGTTTTGTGCTATAGAGTTTATAGGTTTGAATCGCTGTGATTCTTGAAAATCACTATAGAATTTTTTTCACCACCATCCAGTGGCAGAGGATTGCTGGCTCCACAGAACGCCGAGGAGGTAGGGCTACGGAATATAAATGACCTCAGCATTGATCCTTCTGCCTTACAGACACCTTGCCATGAACAGAGTTTCCATTTCCATGGATCTTCAAATTTCCAGAGATTTCCCTGGCCGTTCCTCCAGCACGCTGGAGACCTCAAGCCCTGCACATACCCACCAGAGGCGCCAAGATACCAAGACTTACTTCTACTTCCTGGCAGAAGGTGGCATTGGGGCCATACTGCAGCTGGCATTGGTGGTGAACATCATAGATCACTCCAGGGGCAATGACCTTGGACTTCAAGCCTTTCTTCTGGGGGACGTCATCAAGACAGAACCCCAATCCTCGGCTAAAAACAAGTTAATAGAAATGAGAGCAGGTGTCTACGATTTCCTTCATCTTCAGTCTTTCATTCAACAAAAACTTCCATCCCTCTAGTTTACTCTTTGTCCTTTAAGACAACTTTATTGCTACAAGGCAGAGAATCCTCCAGGCCCACAGCGGTTGTTGCCTAAAAGGAAATACAAACCCCAACCCACACCATCAGTTCAGGTGTGATCTAGGAAATATAAACAGCGGTAAAATTAGAAAATCATCATCTTACCCCTATTGGGGTTTCAGTGACCACTTCTGACATATCCTAGTTGTTCCTGCAGGTCCCTAAGGGCCTAACACCCACTCAACTCTTCAAAGCCACCTTGAGACAGCAGCAAGTAGGTGGACAGGGTGTTTACCTGGCTGTGGCGGGAGGGCCGAACTCACCTAGATCTCAGGGTTAGAAAGCAGAAGGGACATCCACCCGTTTAGATGCCACCCTGATACCGTGACCTGTGAGAGGAACTGAGACTTCTCCAGGTCTCAGGTAAAACTCCAAGTTACTTCCAGCTTAAAGAGAGCCCAGTGAGCCTGTCCTGAGACCACTTACTCCAGGAAGCGGGTGACATACTCCTTGCTGCACTTGGACCACGTCAGCGGGGTGGGATTGTATTGGAGCTGGCGCGACATGATGTACGGGTGCCTGCCCACGGGCTCACAGTCGTTCTCCTTCCCGTCGTGCTGGATGCCGAAGCTGCAGGAAGGCATAGGGCACAAGAACATCAAGGAAGCGGCATGCAAAGGGGAAAAAACATTAGTTTCTCCAAGGTGAAAATATCCACAAAGAGCCACTTTTGTACAGGAGGCATCTGTTTACAAAGTGGGACTTTGAAATTGGAGGGAGAATAGCTCATTTTCAACTAAGAAGCACAGGGAACATTTGAGGCATGGCTTTGCCTCAAATATGCAACCGTGGGAGCCGTGAGGCTAATTCAAAAAATTCCGTTTGGCAGAAAGCTAGGAGCTCCCAGCTTGGCTTTCTGAGTCTAGAGACAGGAGGGCAAATCTTACTTCAAGTTATATTCTTCCTCTTGCTGTAGTAACCACAGCATAAAAGAGCACCTCCCCCTCCCCGGACCCCCAGCTTCTCCCTTTTCATCATAATTTAAGAGAGAGCACGAAAGGGGAAGTCTATGGGAAACTTTGTTAAAGGCCACAGGCTTTGAATGGATGGATTTCTTTCTAGTATTACTACAAGAGTCCTCCAACATCACAGACCTCAGGGAGACCTCACATTCAGTGGTTAAGAGCAGGATTCCCACAGACAGATGGTCTGGATTGGATTCTGGCTGAGCCACTTAATGATTTGTGTTACTGAAACTTGCTCAGCTTCAATTTCCTCTTTTAGAAAATGGAGTGGTCGTCATCGTGTAGGATGAAATTTGAATGGAATAAAGTTTGAAAACCACTTAGCCAGGTGCCTGGCATATAACACAGGCTTCTTAAATTAAAAAAACATTTTGATTGCTGTTTTAATCACTGTCTAGCTAATTTTCCTCTGCTAGATGAGGAAGCTCACACTTTGAGATTTGTCAGAAGTTAGGGACTAAACTAGGTCTTCTGCAGATCTCTGTGCTCCTATTTCGGGGCTCTCCTCTCTATCTCACTTCTGCCCCCCAACCTCCCACCATCAGGGCTGACCAAGTGAAGCAGCTCTGAAAGGCTGTAAGAGCTTACCTGTCTACCATGGCAACAGGGTGCCTGGGAACGAAGCAAACTCAGGAATGTCTGTTTATAAGCCTAGTCCTCAGCATCACCCCAAGACGCCTTCTGAGATCCCAACAAGACTCTCTCCACTGGGGTCTGCTTATTGAATACTTACGACCTCGAGATGTTGGCTCAAATTTTTAAATGCGAACAGAGGAAATTAGGACCTTTCACTCTGCTAGTGAAATTCAACCCTCTGACATGCAAGTGCACATCCAACTTTAATAAAATCTCCTGATCAACATCAGCAACTCTTGCAGAGAATAGTCCTGAGGGGATTTACAGGTTTTCTTGTATTTTTTAATGCATTATGATGTTATTGATTTACATTTCATACGAATACAAAACTCACAAAGGAGTCAGATTATTCATTTACAAAGCCCTTACCACTCACCACAAAGAATGTGATTCAATGAAAATTCTTTCTGAGCAGGCTTTTCCCAGGCGGTTGCAAAGCCAGTCTTACTCAGCTCATGAAGTATTCTACAAGTTCACCTGCTCCATAATTAGTAAGAATCCTAAACTACAAGCATGGTTCTAAAAAGGTGCACCAATAATGGTTTTTCTAGCATTGGATATTCCAGTATAATAAGTCATATGGCTGGATCATATATACTGGGTGGTTTCAAACCTACATTCAAAATACATCAATTCTCCAAAAGCTCATTTCGTTCCATCAAAAGTTTTTCATTCGCTAAAGCGTTCTCCCCTCCAGCTTTATCAGCCCTCTGGACTCACATCTGATAAGAGCAATCGGTGCTACCAACAAAATGTCCCTCTGGACCGGTCTACATTCTCCAGAAGGGTGGAGCACTCCCGTCACATGTGGGTCAGTGAGAAAAGAAGGACAAGGAAAGCACATGTGGCCAGAGGGATGGAAGTCTTGTTTCCAGGAAGTTACTGCCCAGCAGGTAGGGTGGCACCCGAAGAGCAGTGTGGAGCAAGGAGCTCTCTACGGTCTGAAAGAACTTACTGGGCTGCTGCATGAGCTTTACTTTATCTTCGTGCTTTAATACTTTTTAGGTTCATTTGCCAAATTGCAGATACAAGATAGTAAGGTAATTGCCTGGGTTTCAGGGTATCACTTGGTGGGCTATATCTATTCTTAGCCTTCCATTATTCGTTTTACAGAGTAGTGGAACCAGCAGAGAATGAGAACCATGAAAGTGTGAATGTCAACTTTCTAACTTATTCGGATGATAACAACTTTGTATATGCAAATGAGCAAGGCTCCATAAGTAAAATCTACAGCAACCCAGAAGGGAAGGGCAGTGGAATACTGCATGGATACTGCCTTTTAAGTATTCACCTGAATGATGATATTTTCATTACTTAAAAGGAAAGGATACAGGAACTCTACCTTCATTTCTGGTAACTCACTTAAGACCTAATAAAGCTGGTGTGAGACCGAGCTATGGCTCGCTGATATAATCCAGGGCCCTCAAAAATGGATTTTTAACAAGTTTTCTCTCATAATAAAAGTGAAATTATTCACTTAGGTCACAACACGGGTTAGTTCAATTTGCTTTCTATTTTGCATCATATACAATCAGAGATAAAACAAGTTTTGAAGAAACAACAGGGTATCTTTGTTATTAAATTATAATGAGTGTCTTCTTGGGATATTGGCTTATTATATATATTTTTTCTTTTGGGCTGCCACAGGCCGTTTCATTGACCTGTTCAGTGTTTCTCAGTTTGGTCCACAGCTAATTAGAACTATATAGCTAAAGAAAGAACTAAATATCTCAGAAGCATCTTTTGCTTTGAGCAAAAGTTTCTTGGGAAGCTCCTAAAGTTTTCTCTCTTTTGGCTTTGTGTCCTATTAAATAATTTTTCTATCACTCAGATGCAAGCTTATGTGTCTTCTTTCAACTTTCTCTTTCTTAGCAGTGACTCTATACTTTTTTTTTTTTTTTGCCACTTAAAGAGAGTTGTTTATTTAGGTCACTTGTACATGGCTCGATGCCCCTTTTTAAAAAACTTAAACTTCTCATTTTAAGATATTTCTAGATTCAGATGACAAAACTGAAGCTGTCTGACTTTGGGTACCTCATGAGAAGGCAAGGTTCTTAAGAAAAGACAGTTATGCGGGGAAAAACAGAAGGGAACAGAAAAAGAGGAAGACTAGCTATGAGGTGGAATGACCCTAGAAAGGAAGCCATAGGCATAAATCTACAGAGCTGAGCAGGGCTGCTGAGGACAGGACATTGTGGACATCACTCGTTCATTCAGTCACCAGGAGATGGAGCTGACGCAGTGGCATGTAACAACAAAGATAATAGAATAGATCACATTTAAAGACAAAGATAATAGAATATCACATTTATCTCCCAGGGCTTTTTAGTAAGGATCAAAGAAATCACAGTGCCTAAGAAACTGCCTAGTTCAATCTACTCATTTCACAGATGAACAAACAGGTGTAGAGAGGTAACAGAAATTATCTAACGTCATGATATTGGTTGATGGAAAAGCCGGAATAAACACTCACTTATCCCAACTCCCAAGCTGATACTCTGGTTTTGTACTGCAGGTAAAAACATTTTGAAAAGGTCCAATATTACATGAGAAAAATGGTGAGAAAGCCCCGGCCAGAGAGGCCAGGCCTGGAATAATCCAGTCTCCAGGGTTTTTCCCAGACCCACCCCTCTTCTGGCTGTACACTCAGAACACACTCCAGTGTCCTGCTTCCTCCGCTACAGGGTGGAGATCCAGGCTGGCAGCTGCGCCACAGGGAGGGGGCATAGCTGAGTCATTTATGTGGCTCCCCACTCTGAGTCTCTAATTAGTGTGATACGCTTTATTCATGGTTTGTACAGAGACCAACACATTAAGATACACATAAGCTAAGCTCTTTCTTCCAGGGGAACTTCTGATACCTGCAAGATACAGAATCCTCCTGATCCCTTCATAAAACATGCTGAAACATGCCTTCAGTGAATTCAGCTAATCAAATTCACATATTTTGTGATAACATAGACCTCCTAACTGGCATTTGCTTGATGGTCTTTCCAAGTTTATAGCAGTTTTCCACATCTTATTCATTCAGTGTTCTCATACACATACACACACACACACACACACACACAAGAAAAAAGGGGCTAACAACAGTATCTACTTCATAAGGTTGCTGAGAGGGTTCAACGACACAATGCAAAGTGTCTGGCATAAAGTTAGGGCAAAAAATGGTACGGTTTGTGACTTTTTAGTGATATTATTATTTCATAAGACAAACAGGATTGTTACTCTTGAATTAACTGAGTTAAAGCTTATCTCCTCGCTTCTGCCCACCTTATTCTAATTCAGAGAATTGCAGTGGCCTCTGATTCTGTGATACAGATGGTACACGTGGTCAGGGCAGAGAAGACACTGGAATCTTTAAAGTGTGTAATTATCCCCACTTTACAGACGAGGAAGCAGAGATTTAGGAGAGTGAGTCCCAAGCCACAGTGCAATCTGACTCCCTTGACACCCTATTTAAGGCGTTTTCCATTCCCTCGTCTGTCTGATCGCGATACGTGAACATGGCGAGATCTTGGTTTCCTTGGCCCTTTACCTGTGTCCAAGCTCGTGGGCAATGGTGAAAGCCAGAGGAAGGCCTGAGTCTTCATTGATGTTACAGCTTCGGTGAGGCTGGCACATTCCTGACAAGTGAGACAGACCCAGGGTCTCACAGGGGCGGTTGACACCAGCGCAGATGTCTTTTCTGAAAGCAGAGAACAGAGATGTATAGGTGGCCAAAAAACACCTGCAGAAACCCTCCAGGAAAAGAAAAAAAATCTAGGTATGAATTCTCATTCAATATGGTCTATAAAGCATAATTAAAAATAATTTTTTAAAGTCAATATTTTGAATTAAGATTATTCTGGTTTCACCTCTTAATTACTGACTCGCACTAACATCTAACATCTAGCAAATGTTTTATTTTGAGTTGCTTTTGCTCCTAATCTCAGGAGGCCAAATTATATTATTTGCTCAAAAAGAGAAGGATATGGCTGAAAACTGAAGTGAATATGAACTTTTAAGTAGGGAAGGGACAACAAGCAGTAGCTGAGGTTTTTCAAATGTGAAATCCTTTTTTTTCTTTCTGAACTCTGTGCTCAAAACTCATCTAAAAACTTTTTATCATTCATGAAAAAGGCAAGTGATCCCATCAACCCATCCAGAGATCAAATCAATTTTCTCTCTAGCTGCACTACCCTAACAATATTGCTTACAGGAGAGGATAAACACACACATTCACATAGAGCGAGCAAGCGAGCAATAGAGAGCTGAGCAGAACGAGAGAGAGAGAGAACGAGAGAGAGAGAGAAAGGCATTTTTCCTCTTTTCACCAGGACGTTATTTCTCTACTCAGGATCTCACAATATACTAGTGACAGCCTTTCAATACCAAAGTGTGCTCCCATATCCTGGTAGGGACTGTTTCAATCACTGACAAGGGCTTTGAAAGAGCTGTTTGTTAATGAGTCATTTGGTTTTCTTCGGTTCAAGAAGAGCTCCTTGTCAAGAGGGTCTAGCACAAATGCCAACAAGGTTCTGAGTTTTAGTTAGTTGCAGATCTTCAGCTCATAGGTTTTGAGTGAGCACCATTTCTGGTGACAAATCACCTGCTTTTTTTGTGTCTGTTGGACCATGGAAAAGATCCAGGCTTTGAAAACCCCTGCACATTCTCAATTCTCCAGGTAGCAATGGCTGGGATAATGGGACAAAAGAGAGCAGCTCCCCTCTCAGAACCTGTGCAACAGACATGCATCCCGACTCACACCAACGGCGGCATTGCTGGGCAGTTCCGTGGTGCACAGCTAGGTGGCTCATACAGTCTGACCATTCTCAATAATTTCTGGGTCTGTAGGGCCGACCAAATACTTTCTATCGTCATTGCAAGATGTGCTTGTTACTATTACTATTTTATTCAAAAGTCTGGAGCTGCTGGGAAGGGATGAATGGTGCTCACTGCTAATTTGCCAACCTTCTCATTTTGACACTGTGAAGTAATGTCTGTTAAATGACTGTTTATTGAGTGCTTACTAAGTATCTAGTGCTAAAGAGGGTAAAAGAGGGTGACAAAAGAATTCTAGGAATATGGTTTTTTCAGGTAAGGACCTTAAGCTCCCAAAAGGCCATTAGCTCTACCTCCCCCATGCACTGGAAAGTGCTACTGGCATCTCATGGATAGAGGCCAGAGATGCTGTTAAATATACTATGATGTACAGGACAGCCCCTCACAACAAAGAATCATCCCATCTAAAATGTCAATGGGCTCAGGTTGAGAAATCCTGCTTCAGAAATTACAATACTCTCCACTGTCTAGGAGCTGGTGAGAGTCTGGAGCTGCTGGGAAGGGATGAATGGTGCTCACTGCTAATTTGCCAACCTTCTCATTTTGACACTGTGAAGTAATGTCTGTTAAATGACTGTTTATTGAGTGCTTACTAAGTATCTAGTGCTAAAGAGGGTAAAAGAGGGTGACAAAAGAATTCTAGGAATATGGTTTTTTCAGGTAAGGACCTTAAGCTCCCAAAAGGGCATTAGCTCTACCTCCCCCATGCACTGGAGACATCGTTAGAGAAACATGCCCTGGTATGCAGCCACTAGCCCCATTTCATGGGGTGTTCCAAGCCAAAGCCACTTTCTACTGAATGCAGCTCTATAGAGAACTCTGTTAAAGTGAATCTCAGCACAGTCCTCAGAGACCAGCTCAGTCTTACACCTCCCTCCCTTCCTGATCTTACCTATTTCTTCAGACCAGAGGTTCTCAACAGGGCGTGGTTTTACTCTCCACCCACTTTTAGGGGACGTCTGGTAATGTCTGGAGACAGTTTTGGTTGTCATGACTTAGAGGAAGGTACTACTGGCATCTCATGGATAGAGGCCAGAGATGCTGTTAAATATACTATGATGTACAGGGCAGCCCCTCACAACAAAGAATTATCCCATCTAAAATGTCAGTGGGCTCAGGTTGAGAAATCCTGCTTCAGAAATTACAATACTCTCCACTGTCTAGGAGCTGGTGAGGTTCATCATACAGTGAAACCAGATCCATGTTCTAGGAAGAAAAAATCATAACAAGAAAAAAAGGAGAGTGAATCCCTTCTACTCTTACTGGGTAATAGTTAAGAGCATGGCTACTGGGGTCAAACCACCTGGATTTAAGTCCCACCTTTACCTGGTAATGGCAGTGAGATTTGAGGCAAGTGACATAACCAAGCCTCAGGTTCCCCATCTGTAAAATAGGGATGATTGATAGTAGTCAACTACCCGTGTTCCTGTGGGATTAAATGGAATGATGATTGTTTTAGCAGATGCAGCACAGTGCTTAGCCCATGTCAAACACTGCACAAATGCCAGCTATCATGAACTCATTCATTTCTTCATATGAGAATGAAAGAACTCTTTCTGCTTTCAGGGATAGAAAAGAGACAGAGCCGAGTCACAGCTTCCAGGAGGCCAATGCTGGTCCTGGAACCCAGGGTTCTTGCCTGTAGAAATGTCCTGCCTGGACTCCAGTCTTCTCCTGGGTTCTGCTCAGGCCCACAGTGTTCCCTGGCTGCCTGCTGGCTGCCTGCGGCCCCCCACCCCCAGAGCTCCCAGGCTTACCTTCCATAGACGTACTAACCTATTTCCCAGGGGAACCACTGATCAACCCAAGGTGCCATACGTCCTAATGAATCTAAGGTAGCAGGTTTATGCCACGGACTTCTTTTGGAACATGTCTGCATTCAACCAAAGTTTTGATACTTTCACTCAAAAAAGAGATGCTCATGGTTGAAGATTTTGGTCAGGGTAAGGCAGATATGTGGCTCGGATATGGGCTGATTATCATCCCTTATAAGCATCTATGCATGGGACAATCCTGTCCAAGGGAGAGATGACAGGCCAACATGTTCGTGGGCAGCTGTCCTCTGCAGGGACAATGGACACACCCAGGGCCTTCCAGTGTGTGAGGTTCTCTGTGGCCGAAGGGCCAGGCCAAGGGGCCTCTTCTGTTGTACATCCCTGGGTTTCTGGATGTCCCTGAATCGTCACGGGAGTGCCCATGAAAATTTACTTTTCCCCATGAATGTAAGACCTTCATTTGCTTAGATTTAAACAGTGTCTGGTATGCAGTAGGTGCTCAATAAATATTTATTGAATCAGTGAGCAAACATAGCCTTGCAAGAGCCTGGGTTTCAGATAAGTTCGCTAGCTTTTCACAGCTGAGTCCTAGGAGTTTAGATGATTCTTATCAGCACCATGAGGTTTTTCTGTGGTTAGAACAAAACAGTATCTTCATGAGGGTAAAAGAAGTAAGACAGGTGTAAGCACACCATTCTGCCTGCTCAGGGGAGGACCTGCTCCCCATATTCTGTCCTCAGCATCAGTAAGAGATGGGTTACAAGGAGGACTGATATCTGTAGAAATAATTGCATGTTTCTAAACTGGAGGAAATTTGAAAAATAAAATAAAATAAACGGTCAGAAATCTCATGGTTAAAAGTATTCAGAGTCTTTAATGAGGATCTGCAAACATGCTTCCTGTTTATAAAGCTGCGTGGAGAAGCCGGCCTTAGAGATGACATCATCACTGGGATAGGAAAGAGGCCTGCATTTCGTCAGCAGATGCAGTTTACTGGGGCAAACTTTTGCCCCAAGTTTGCTAACTGGCCCTTTACTGGTATGGAGGTCAGGAATTGTCCAGATTGTAGAAGCTACCTTTAAAAATGACCAAGAGCAGCACGGAGTAGATATCCATGAGTCTGAATACCTGGCAACCCTTCCACCTGCCAGCCCTCCCTGCCTTGCAGCCCCTGGCTTCCCCATAGTCTCTGGGGTACCTGGTGAGAAGGACGGCCACATCATGATGGGCAGGGTTGAGGTCACTCTTGGGATTGATGCTCTTCTGCCACTTACAGAAGCTGGACAGTGTCTTCTCTGCATGGTGAACTATTTTCAATCCTTGCTGGAGACAGAAGAGGAAGAGATTGGTGTGTGTGAGTTTACTGTGGTCAGGGCTCATCACATTAGTCCCCAGAAGCAGCCAAGTTGATCAGCCCTGGACAGGTGCTGCAGACATCTGGGGGAATTTGGCAGAGGCCGACTTAGTCCTCCAGGCTAACCCCTGCTCTAAATACTATTGCTCTCATGACTTCCACTAAAAGAACCTGAAAAGAACTACAGGATATAAATGACCACTGGGACAAATAGCCCTTGAAGAAAAATTAAATATATAGTAGCAAAGGCCAGCAGCTGTTTGAAGTTCTACTTCCAGTGGCTCTCTGATCCTGAGCCAATACAATTCCAAAGAGGCATTGTTATTCCTAATGCAAAATCGATGGTTTTTTTTTTTAACAAAAAAAGCTTCTTCCTTTCATAAGGTATCCCGCAAGACTGGGGGTGCACTGGGTATTTCCTTGGTTTCCATCTTGGTTTGACATGTATCAAACCAATGGCAGAGACTTAGGATCATTAGAACCTGATAGGGTCACTGGTTGTCTGATAACAATTAGGACACAATTTGGATGGATCTCAAGGGAATTCTGTTGAACGAAAAAAATCCAGTCTCAAGAGGTTGTAAGCTGTATGATTCTATTTATATAACATTCTCGAAACAACAAAATTACAGAGATTAGTGGTTTCCAGGGAAAAGGTCGGTAGGCAGAAGGCATGTATAAAAGGGAAGCATCCACTCTCCCTCATTCCTGAACCAAATTCAGTGTCAGCAAAGACACATAACCATCATCAAGAGAAAACAGTCATTTTCCAGATGTTGCAGCATGAACTCTGCCTCCAGCTTTCCCACCATTACGACGAGCCCATTTCCCTGAAGGCCCTTAGGAACTACACACCCAGTCCTCTCGTTTAAACAGTGAGGAAATCCAGGACGGAGAGGAGTGGACCTTAACCAAGCCACACAGCAGGTTTTGGCAGAGCAGGGCTTAGCTCTCAGGTTTGCAGCGACTAGTCCAGGACTAGTGGTTTACAAACTATTGAAGACTTTGCTAAATTTTTTTTTATTTTTTTTTGCTTTGAATAACTGGGAAGATTGAGCAATTCACCAATGCATGATTATAGCTTAATTCTACTCCCCCACCTTGCAATCCCACCCCCGGTGAGGGGAAAAACACATGCAGAGACCCTCAACTTCCAAGATCCCCAACTCTCTGTCCTCCGCTTACTCTCTGACCACTTCTCAGTCCCTTCCACAAGCTCTTCTTCTGTCCTTCTCTGGCTCATTGTTTAGTGCGTTTTCAATCAGTCCTATTTGGAGAAATAACCTATATGCTGTCGACTCCCAAATCTATATCTCATTCCCAACCTCTCCTAGTATTCAAACTCAGGTATCCCAATCTTCTGGTGGACACCTCCTTCTGAATGGCATCACAGGTACCCCCAATTCAACATCCCTGAAATCCTTTTTCCCCACGTTAACCTGCTGTTCTTCCTGTATCCTCTGACTTAGTTACAGGAACCACCCTCAACCCAGGTGCCCAATCTAGAATCACCAGCATCACTCTAGTGGCCTCCTCTCCCCCTATATTCTGCATCCCAATCTGTCACCATATGCTGCTAATTTTATCTCTTCTTCATCTTTACTCTCAACTGCCCTAGCTCAAACCCACAGCATTTTATGCTTGTAGCATCTCTCGTTCTCTTTCCTTCTTCGTTGCTCTCTTTGCTGTTGCCAGGTCAATCTAGTCAAAACCAAAGTCTGCCCATATCACGACCCATGGCTCAAGGCCCTTCAAAGTCTAGCTTCCAGAAAGCGCTCCCTTCATTTGCAACCTCACGGTTTATGCTTTAGCAACATTCAAACTGCTTATAGTACCACTCCCCCGACCACAAATTTCCATACACTATGCTATTTTTTACCTTGCTTTCTTCAAGCTGCTCTTTCTACCTAAAATGTCTTTTTCTTATCTCTTCTTGCCTCTAACGTATTCAACATTCATTCTTTAAGATTTGATTTGGGCATTTTCAAGAAGCCTTCTTTGCCCCCAGTCTAAATTAGAAAATGATCAAATTGTGTGCCTATCCTCCTCCTTATCTTCTCCAGAACAAGGACTGAGGTTTATTTCTCTCCTTATCTCAGGCACTGCACATAGCCTGGTACACAGCAGGTATCCTGACAAAATTGATGACTCACACCACCCCATCAAGGAATGGAGACAAGGTGAAGAATGTATCTACCGACCCAGACAAAAGTAAAGATTATGTGAGTGAGAGGTTTTGCGGTGAGTCAGTAAAAAGGCAAGATCTTCTGGTGATTAGGGAAGAGCAGAAGCTTGACGATAAAGCAGAAAAGTCTGTAATAATAATTCTGGTGCCTGTAACAAGAACCGTTAGGAGGCAATTCGACATGGGTCTCTCATGTGTCTTCATATCATCTGAGCAAAGGCATTGATAGCTTTTGTATTTTTTCAAGGATGTTGCATAACAAACAACCTTAAAAGATAATCTCCCTCCAGGGAAGAGGGTAGATTTATTTGCTATCTAGAATAAGAAAGATAATGGCTCCTTTGGGGGCAAAAGTTGGACAAGTTTGCTTACAACTCTCATGAAAGGATTTGGGTTTTCTTATCTTGGGCTCCTCAGTTGTGATAAAACCCACTGTGTGCACAGCACCCACCTGGGCTGCCTGCATCACCCATGTGGGACTTATAGAACAAGAGGGACAGATGCAAACATGAGGCTCATGCCACATATTGCTCTTTGAGTAATACCATCCACTGTCTCTGATTCAAGAGTCTCACATCTTCAACCAGCAACACATCCATGCAAGTGTAGCAGGATAACTTGTTAGCTTATAAGGAGAGTAATATCTAAGACCCTTCATAGTTCCTGACAGGGATAGAAAGAGACTGGAGAACAGGTGATCAAGCAGAAAGTAGTGAGAACTATGCCGAGGTCTGACCATCTAAATACGAGTGGGGTCTGCATGGTTGTTAAGAATTTTCTAGCAGCTGGATTATTGGGGAGGAAGTAAAGAAGGCAAAGACACTGAAAAATAAATAAATGTCAACAGAAGGGATTCTTCTTACACTTCAACATTCTTACAAGAGCAATTCTGGAATAACCTGTGGTACAGTCATTGAAGAGAAAAAGAAACGTTAGTGTCCAAAATCTAACCTCGAAATCTTGCTTGCTTTTCTCCTTATTGCTTTTGTCGGTTCCTCTTATAAACAAAGCAAGTGCACAAACAGCTGAGTTGCTAATCACTTGCAGCTGGGTTCCCTGCCCCTGTGTAGAATTTTCCTCTACAATATGTGGCATTAGCACAAGTTCACTGACAGGGTCTTCAGGAGACTTTACTGTTTTCCTACTAAATGTCATGACTCTTCCAGGAGGTTCTAATTGAGCATGATTTTTTTCAGCCTCCTCAGTCTCTTAATCTCCAAATTTCATAGGAGGTAAGCCCAAGAAACACTCATTCAGCTTCTTGAATGCATTCGATCATAGGAGCCTTGGAAAGAGTAATTAGCTAGGCCTCCCTACCACGGAGCCCTAAGCACACACAAGACGAAAAGAACTTCGAGAGACTGTGCTGGCTCACACTGACCATGGCGAGGCCTGTGCCAAACAATTTCCATAATGCTCTCTCATAATTATTGGAGATTGTCAAAACAAGCCCCTATCCACACTATTTCTTTTTCCTCTTGACTTTGTAAAGAAAAATAAATTTCTTGTTTTGTCCTTTCATCACTTTTTTCTCATCTCATTTTTCCAAGCAAGTCCAATTTACTTACCACTTTCCCTTTCCTATTCATTTGAATAGGTGACCTTATAGGACAGGCAGATGACCTAGAGAAAATCAACAATATCTCAGAGAAATAGGCGGGAATGGGAGATATTAAAAGATTTTGCAAGAACATGGCTTTTATTATTACAAGTTGTTTTGTCTCCTTTTAAGTTCTCTCTATAATGAAAAAAAAAATCTGGTATTGATTTCTTTGAGAATTCCTGGTAGTGGCTTTTGATTTAATGTGCAGTCGGACCATGCTTTGCTAGCCGAGCTTAAGTTCTTGGAAGAAAGAGAATGGACAGAAAAGAGAAAAGCAGTACAAAGTTTAATCTGAGAACTTCCCATGTGCTTACCAAATAACTCACCTGACTATCAGAGGGAAAGATAACTTGATTAAAAAAAAGAAAAGTGACGCGCCAATATTTTTACTATTTATCTTAAAAGAGCAACTATTGTATAGGTTATTATGGACCCACAAACCACCTTGGGGGCAGGAGAAATCATTCGCCTACCCAAATCTTCAAAGTTTAACACATTTCTAACTCCAGAGTCCCACAGAAGTGAACCCAACACTAAATCATTCCAAGACCAAAAGGGAAATTCTCTGTGAAAACGGTCATCTCCTACTTGACTGTCAGCCCTACTGCTGTTCCTCCCAGCATGACACCCTCAGACCCCACCTCTGGATGGCACAGTGAACTGGGCCTATCTGACTTTATCCCAACTCACACGCATCCCAGTTTTGTCTCTATCCTGTTTTCAAAAGAAGTCCTCAATCTCTTACGATCCTAACCTTATCCTTTTGGCCTTTTATTTTCCTTCAAGAACTTTGGCACAGTTTCCTCATCCATGAAATGAGCATAATAGTAACAAGTTTACAGGGTTGTTGTGGATCTAAATGATGATGATGAGGAAAAGGAGGAGGAGGAGGAGAATAACAAGAATGATACTAACAAGTAAATTTATCGAGTGTTTTCTACAAGCCAGATACTATGCTATTACATGGATTAACAAGTTTGATTCTCATGGCAACTCTATAAAGTAGATATTATTATCCTCATTTTACAAAATGGAGATATGGAGGCACAGACAAGTAACCTACCGAGGTTATACGGCTAGAAAGTGGTGGGACTAACTATAAATCTTCTACTTTCCATGATGTCAGTTGCTTACAAGAGTTGAAGAGGCAAGACCTGAAGGGAAGAGTCTAGTCCTATCCC